CAGCCACCTGATTAGTCTTCTCCTCTAAACGACTTGTTCAGCTCACTTTTCTGTTTTACTCCTAAGTCTGAACTCTGCAGCTTCACGGCCAGTTCGTGCCTGAGGGCCCTGAGGTCATCCAGCTGCTGCCTCAGAGATACCAGCGCCTCCTGCTTCTCGAAGCCGTCCTTCTCCAGCAGCCTGTCCTGAGGCCGGCGGCCAGGGCCATCCTTACCCTGCTGTCAGGACCCCTAATACCCGTCCTCAGGGTCCACAGAGCAGCAGGGATGATTTCATAAGCCAGGTCCAGAGACAGAGGCATCCATGGGGTGCTGGAAGTTGTGTGCATTTTCCCTAATAACCAGCTTGATAAAAGTTGTGAGTTGAGCCTTTCTTTTTTATATCAAAACAAACACAATGGGCAGAGTTTAGTCGGAAGGGCTGTTTTCATGAACAGTGACGGTCACACTGGAGTTGATGTACTACAAGATGTCCACGCAGACAGGATTCAGGGGCAGGAGACACAGCTCCGTGTAAGAAACTCATGTAGCGTGTAGGAGGCCCTGGGCTTCCTCCCCAGAGAAAGATCGGAGTAGAGATGAAAATGAGGTGCTCCTAGATGTAAACATCGTTTCCTCTTCACCCCACCACTACCAAACCGTGAACCCTCCGGGAGAAGAAAGTAAAGAGTAACATAAATCTGAATGTACTGAACATAGTGTAATAGAATTTCAGGACCAGAACTTGCTGGTCTTGGTCTACAAGTATTTTCATTAACAGCACAGGGAAGAACTTGCTTTATCTCCTTTGTGGCTTCAAAAGTGAGTCTCTGCCCTTTCCAGAATCCCCAACTTCAAAAAAGCCGTTACTCTTTCCCAGGCCCCCAAGTCATGATGGGGATTTATAAGGAGTCGGGAAGTTTGTCTTTTACACATAGAAAGTGCTCATGGAACTAGAACTAAGTGGAGGTGCCGCACAGCAAGGTGAATTTGCTGATGGCTGAGAGGAGTAGCTCAGTTTTAAATGGTTCCTTAAATGAGAGATTCCTTATTTTGAGCCAAGAATCAGAGCTGGTGGACAGGTTGTTTTGGAAAGGATGACACTTAAACAGCACTCAGTAAGAAATCCTTCAGGGACACAGTGTGTTCAGCAGGGCACTACAGAAACGGTAAATGCTGTCTTGATTTTGTTACCAGTGTCTGGGTTGTTTGATTCTATTTAGGACCTAAGAAGAGACAACTTTGTAATTAGTTTAGAAATTGGGATATAAATACCCTAGACCATCATATTATTTGGTAAAATTGGTTAAACCTGAGAAAAGCTTGTTCTGTAAATCTGGGCCATTACTTGATAAAGCTAAAGTTTTCAGAGTACTAAGGGAAAATAAATTAGTAATTCTGGCCTTAAAAAAAAAAAAAAAAAAACAATGCTAAGATTCCATCTCACTCCAGGAAGAATGGCTGCTATCTAGAAATCAAACCAATAACAAGACTGGGGATTTAGCTCAGTGGTTCCACCACCTGCCTCGCAAATACAAGGTCCTGAATTCCATCCCTGTACCCACCCCCAAAAAAGCAACAACAAACAGAAATCAGAACATTCTATTCAGGCATTCTGGATTCAGTTATAAGGAAAATGTTTAAAACACTTGCAATCCAGTCTTTAAAAGGATAAGAGAAGCCGGGCATGGTGGCGCACGCCTATCATCCCAGCACTTGGGAGGCTGAGTCAGGAGGATCGCGGTGAGTTCGAACCCAGCCTGGGCTACATTGTGAGTTACAGGTCAGTCTCAACTACATAGTGAGACCCTGTCTCAAAAAACCAAAAAAAAAAAAGTATAAGAGGAAACTTCAATAATTGATATGCTAATCACATTTTTTATCTGTTACTAAATCAAGTCCAGAAGTATAGTTACTTGGCAAATGAGTTTTTCAAGTAATAACCTGGAAAATAATCAATCTTCATGATATATTGCACCTACTATTTCTTTAATTCAGAACATTCTACTATGGAATAGTTCCAATTTATTATGTTATAAAAACATTTTGTATTATCGGTCTCCTTGAACACTTTTCCCAAGAAAAAGTGTTTTAAAATTCCATAAAGTATTTACTATTTATTTAACATAAATTTAACCCAACAAACACTAATGAAAAAACTGTTTTGTATCAGGCCTGACCCAGATTCTGGGGAAGAAAAGTCAACTTTCTCTGGCAGTGGTGATAGGCACATGCCTATCATCCCAGCAGTCTGGGAGGCTGAGACAGGAGGATTCACAAATTGAAAAATTTAGCAAATTAGCCAGACCCTGTCTTGATGATGTAGCTCAGTGCAAAGGCCCTGGATTCTATTTCAATCCACAAGACCCCTCCAAAAAAAACAGTCAACTTTCAAGAATGCCTAATCTAAACAAGGCAGATTATGAACTCTAGAAGAAAATAAACAGGATGCAGAAAAGATTTGATCTGACCAAAGAAATCAGGGATGTCTCACATGTGAGCTATGCAGTGATTCTGACAGAGAGAAGTCAAGTAAGAACTACAAAGAGAAAAACTGCAGGGCCTTCTTTCTTTCCCCAGAAGTAAATCATAATTAGAAGTTTGTGGCTTATTTTACAAATGTGCCTGGAGATATTTTTGGTTTTTGTGGTACTAAAGACTGAACCCAGGACCTTCACACTGAGCTATGTTCTCAGCACTAAATCAATATTGCCCAGACTGGGCTCAGACTTGCAATCCTCCTGCCTTAGCCTCCTAGAATGCTGGGATCACAGACATGTGCCACCATACACAGCTGTGCAGTTTCATTACGTAAATCTGAAAACGCAGTGTGAAGACACTGGGTCTAATCCCCTGTATTGCACAAAAATAAAATGAAAATTTTTAAAAAGTTTAATAATTTGAAAAAGCAGACTGATAACAAGATTATAAATGGCCATAAGCACTAGGAAGAAGTATGAATTTATTTTTAGTAGTTTATAATAACCAGTGATGTGATCAGCAATGAGGAAACTTAGTCTGAACTCTGCTACCCATCAGCCTGTGGGCAGCTCTATGCGCCATTTCCCTCACTTTAAAAAAAAAAAGTTGGACTCGGTGTTGCATGTCCACAGTGCCAGCACTTTGGGAGGCTGAGGCAGGAGGAACACAAATTCAAGACTCAGTCTTGAAATTTATTTGAAAGGAAAAATATTGGGATGCTGGGGATGTACTTCAGTGTGAAAGTCCCATGTTCGATTCCCCAGTATCACCCCTGAAAAAGAGCTGGGCTGAGTGATCTAAGATCTCTTTATGGCACCCGATATTTGGTTCAGTGGTGCTGCCACCTGCCTCGCAAGCACAAGGACCCGAGTTCAAACCCCCATACCAAAAAAATAAATAAAAATATCTCTTTATGTACAATAGTAACGTCACTATGTGACTCAATATAAACGTCATTTAGCACACCCTATATATAGTAAAGGTTTTGAAATAGGTGTGTTTGTGCATGCCTGCAATTCCAGCACTCAGGAGGCTGAGGTAGGAGGATCACCTCAAGTTTGAGGCCAGCTTGAGCTACATAGTGAGTTCAAGCCCAGCCTGAATTACTTCATGACTCTGTCTACAAAAAAACCAAAATACACACACACACACACACACACACACACACACACACACACACGAGTAAAGTTTTTAGGTGTCAATTAAAAATTTTTAACTATAGAATTATTAGTTGGTATCATTTGGAAGATGACAACAGATTCTTCCTACTTATAAAGTTTAGGATTTCACTGTCCTCACGGCTATTAGAAAAAGATTCCATTTTGCGGCATCTATTTCTTTTTTTTTTTTTTTGTACCAGGGATTGAACTCAGGTCCTTGCGCTTGCGAGGCAGGCCACTGAACCTCTGAGCTAAATCCCCAGCCCCTGGAAACTATTTCTAAATTTGTAAGGGATCAAGTCACATATATATTCCCACAAAGAAAGTAGGTTACATTCTCTGCCATTATAACATTTTCTTCTCTGTCAGGATCTCAAAAGCTTTGAAAAAATCCAGAATGATTTAAAAGTTCGAGACAAAGCCAGCCATGTTGGTACACACCTGTGATCCCAGAACTCTGGGAGGCTGAAGCAGGCGGATTGCAAATTCAAACCCAGCTTGAGCAATTTAGGGAAATTTAGGGAGACTCTATCTCAATATAAAAAATAAAAAGGCCTGGGGATGTAGCTCAGTGTGAAGGCCTAGGGTTGAATTTTCAGTATTGCAAAATAATTTCAAAAATCAAAAAGCATTTAGGTATAAGACATTTAGTGCTAACCTTTATTGAAATGAGCTATCCCCCCGCCACTCCCCACTTCATTGCTAACTTTAACTCAATCCCTTTAGTCTCCTAACATTACTTGTTTCCTGTTTGGCCTCCTTTCTCCTCTGTTCCCCATTTCCCATCCACCTGCCACTCCCCTACCCGTGAGGAACCTTAGTAAGCTTGGACCTGATTGTGTCACTTCCTGTTTATTTCCCATTGCTTGCAGCAGTCGTGGCAAAGTGTGCTTCCTCAACCGGCAGCATCAACGTGATCTGCTAACTTTGTAAGCGTGTCCCTTCTCAGGCCCGCTGCCAACCCACTGTCCACGTCTCAGCCAGCCTCCAGGTGACTGAGGCACACCAAGGTTTGGGAACCCCTGGCTGGTAAGATAAAACACAAACATCTTGAGAGAGCGTAGGAGCACCGCCGGCCCCCACCTGTTCCTCTGCCTCTCTCCCTGATCCAGGTCTGTATTTAATCCTGGGAAAGTGCAGGCATTTTCCTGTGCCCTGCACCTTTCGCTCTGGGCACTCCAGGCAAGCACTTTCCAATATGGCAGCCTGTGAGACGCCCTGTTCATTTTTCAAAGTTCAGCTCAAGGGTACTTGAGGTATTGGGGCAAACAGCTCTATGGAGCCACTGACAAATTCCAATACTGTTAAGTCAGCTTTTCGTCTCTGTGACCAAAAATCCGAGAAAGACAACTGGAAGAATGAAAGGTTTACCTCGGCTCACCATTTTGTTTCGTTTCAGTCCGTGATGGGCTGGTTCCACAGCAGAAGCATCATGGCGCAAGGGCATGAGGGAGACAGGCTGCTCACCTCATGGCAGCCGGAAGCAGAGCGGGAGACGATACACCAGGCAAAGGCACTCCCCGCACCCTACTCCTCCAGCTGGGCCCGCTCCTGCGTTTCCATTCCTCCCAGTACCGCCACCACATTACGATTCTCTCGTTAGCCAATCACTTCCCCAAAGTCCATCAGAACCCAAGCTTTCCACAACAACGTGCCTTTCTGGGAACTGTTTTGGATCCCAACGCTAAGAGCGTTAGAATTTTGGAGGAAGGGCACAGCCTTTGCTGACAGCCACGGTGCCTTTAAAAAGCCCGTCCCCATTCGCTAATGGGTTCTGGTGGTCTCCTCAAGGGACAGCAAGTGATTCCGCAGCCAGAGCCACACCCTGGGACGGAGTGGTACTTAGTTCCACCGAATCTTAAGGGTGAAACATGGAATAAAGTATCTGTTGTTAAGCAGAAGTGACCCGGGCCACACCAGGCCCAAATGGGCCTAGCTGGTGAAGAAGAGGAAGCCCAGGCCTTGTCCGCCTGTTCCCTAGGCCCCCTCCCTTCTGCTAGGGCTGCTAAGGCAGATAAAGGCCTTAACTGAGTGGGTGATTTGGGGGTTCAAGAGGCTGAAACCCCAAGGCCACGGAATCCCTGCCATCCTGAGCTCCCTGGCCCTTTGTCTGGCTTGCTGCTCATCCATTCCCACGCCTTTTCTGGGTTTAAATTTAAATCCTTAGTGAGCAGCCTCACTGTGAAAAACAGTTCCCCAGCCCAAGGGCTCCGGGAACGAAGGAGGAGGAAGACTGTTCAGGAGCTCCCAGTCAGGCCCTGCTTGCTTGTCACACCTCCTGCCACCCAGGCTTCTGCCCGCTGTCCTTATCAGCGCCTGCAACTTGGGGCGCCGCCCCACCCCCACCCCGACGTTGGCAGCCACCCTGCAGGCAGTGTGGGGCCAGGGTCCCACCCGGAGCTCGGAGCGCCTCCCTCGGAGAGCTCTCCCTCCCCGCCCCAAGCTCAGCCGGCCACTCTGCAGCGCCGCCAGCTGCGGCCCCGCCTCCAGCCCCAAGTCTTGGGGACCTCTGGCTCCTCCCTCCTGGGTGCACACTTCCCTGCTCGCAGGCCTGAAGCTGCAGACCCTCAGATTCTCATCAGCTTGCTTCTAAACGTGTGATGACGATCCGTGGATAAATTCCCACAACCGGGGGCTGCAGCTAGGATGCTAAGTCCACGCTCGAAGAGACCACAGTGGCCAAGGCAGCTCTCAGTCGTTACTGAGCCCGACAGTGCCTGTTCCTGATGCCTTTACAAGGGCTAATAACGTGATCATTGAAGCCTGGATTTTCTTCTTTGTTCTGAATGGGAAACAAAAAGAAACAGACTTCCTTATAATATCCTCATGCAGAGCCGGGCATGGTGGCGCATGCTTGTAACCCCAGCTCTGGGGAGGCTGAGGCAGGAGGATCACTCTGAGTTCCAGCCCATCCTGGGCTTCAGTGAGTCCCTGTTTCAAAAACAACAATCACTTCTCAGCCTTTTGGCTAAGGTCAAGTGTAAAAACAAACAAAAAAGTCACTATTTATATTTATAAGTGCTTACTGTATGTAATAATTTACCTAACAGATCTAGTATCTTTCAAATATACTTCATCAACCAGTATCTACTTTTTCCTTTAAAAAGCAGCTTTTAATTTTCTGAAAATATGTTTTTATGACTGAGGGGAAATATATGTCATATGTATTTATATTCATATATATGTGTGTGTGTACAGATGCCACTTAATTTTTTTTTAATTTTGTTTTGTTTTGTTTTTTGAGACAGGGTCTCACTGTGTAATTCAGGCTGTCCTTGAACTATATACCCCGGCTGGCTTTGAACTTGTGGTAATCCTCCTGCCTCAGCCTCCCTTGTGCTGGGATTACAAGCATGTACCACCACACCCAGTTTAAAACATTTCTATGTTTCTTAGAAACACACACACATCTCTGTAAGATCTTCATAAAGTCTGTGGTTTATAAATGTAATTTCTAGAAAATGTTACTAATATAGGCTCGCTAAAATAATTAACAGAATTTGAAGAAATTCTGAATGTTATTGTCACAGCTGATATGGGCTTTTAATGTGGCAAATTTAATATATATCTGCTATTCTATCCATAATTACTTTAGTAAAAGAGAATAAACATCTATAAATTAAAATAATAGTCTTTTATTGCCTAATGGCCACAAATCAGCTATCTATTGCTGTTCCAATAATCAAATAAATAAATAAAAAAACATTTGGTTTAGTTTTTTGTTTGTGTTTTCAGTACCAGGGATCAAACTTGGGTCCTTGTGCCTGTGAGGCTTGGTTAACAGTTTTAATAGGAATTTAAACAAATTGACAATTATTTTAAATTTAACAATTGTTACATTTATATCCTTATAAAAATACCTAGAGTGTTTTTCAAAGTGTAGAGCTATTTCACAAATGTAGATCATCAAATAAACATAATATGATCAGAAAAAAATAGACAGGCATGGTGGTTCATGCCTGTAAACCCAGCACTTGGGAAGTTGAGGCAGGAGGATCGCTGCAAGTTCAAGGCCAGCCTGGACTTCATAACGAGACCTTGTCTCTAAAAAATACAAGAAAAAAAAAATGATAGAACCAGAATAAAACAAAAACTATGAGATTTGCTCTAGGTTAAGTAATGTTTTACGAAACTTTCATTTCATGTACATATATGCATATGAAATTATTTTCATAGGTCAAAAAAATCAGATAACTTGGGCTGAGCATGTAGCTCAAGGTAGAATACTTTGCCTGGCACACATGAAATCCTGAGCTCAACCCCTAGCACTGAGAAAATAATCAAATATTAATTTCATATTTGTTATTTTTATAGAAAAAACTGAATATCTGCAATTTCATATGGTTCTAACTAAACTAATACAGTATATAGAACTCACATGCAAGGTAAAGAGCTAGGTGACAGTGTAAAATGTATTCTTACTGCCAAGGAGTTTAAAAACAAACAAAGAACACTGGACATGGTGGTGCACACCTATAACACCAGCCCTCCAGAAGGCTGAAGCGGGAGAATTCCAAGTTCATGCGATTTAATCAGTTCAACTCACCCTTCAAAAGTGAGCAAATATATTACTCATAAAAAAGATGTGTATTGATTTTCTTTCTCCAAAGACGCTTGTTAGAACACATTATTACCAGTATAGGCAAAGTCATTACATAAATACAAACAACTAAAAAATAGCATACATGACTGTCACTCCTTCAAAAAGCAAATGTTTATGTTAGTATTTAAATTTTATGAGGCTCGGGTGTGAGGTAGATTGAGGAACTCTGCAGACGCACTTTGGAGTGAAACTGGTAAAGATTATTTTTTAGAGCAACCATCTGAAGCCTCTGGAAATAGGGTCGGGTTGAAGTTACGTGGTAGAGCACATGCTTAGCATGTGGGAGGCCCTGATGCCTAAACTGAATGAATGAATGAGGCAAAGCAGTCTCGGGAGTAGTCCTAACGGCAAACAGCAAAAGAGGAAGCATTCCAGAAACCCCACTAACACGTGATAAGAACAATGAGAGACTATAGTTTTTTTTTTGTTTTTGGTACCGGGGATCAAACTTGGGTCCTTGTGCTTGCAAGGCAGGCGGCAGAACCCCTGAGCTACATCCCCAGCCCCTAGAGACTATAGTATTTGAACCAAGATCCATTCCACAGCTCGGTGTGGAGGCCTGTAATCCCAGTACTCGGGGAGGCTTAGGCAATTTAGTGAGACCCTCTGTCAAAATTTTAAAAAATGTTTTAAATGAACTGGGATGTAGCTCGTTGTGAAGGCTGGTTCAGTCCCCAGTACCTTAAAAAAAATTCCATCCTTCCAATTCAGTAGGATGGGGTCGCTGGGACCCTGGCCAGGCTGTCTCCAGCTGGGGCGATTAGAATCCAGGCCGACTCCGGATGGGGTGACCATCTGCCACGCCCCTCCTGCCCACCTGTTGCCCAGCAACAGGTCTGGTGCGTGTAGGGAGGCGAGGATCCCCGTAAGTGGGACTTAGGGTCTCCAGGGCCCTTGTGCCCTGGCCCTAGCTCCAGGCAGGGCTTCCATGGAGGGCAGCAGGAGGACACCTGGGGCCCTGGGAGCAGCCTGACTCTCAGAGTCACAGCAAACCTCAGACAGAATTATCAGAATTATCCTTGCAAAGGACTCCAAAGGTACTGTTTGTGGAGCAATTCTGCCCCGAGGCATTGTTAAAACAGCAGAACAATCAGTGGACAGGTAGTGGAACTTAGCATGTGGGAAAGAGACGTCTCCAACACTTTGTGAGAACCACTCACAACCACGTGGACTGTGGCACATCCAAGGTGGCCACACCAGAGGCTTCTGCAGAACAATCCAGCCCATCGCTAAAGTAAAGCTAGAAATCCCATTTGAGCCAGCTATTCCCCTGTAGGCCACTTCCTGAAGGAGTTGAAGACATTATATTACTATGATCCACGCATACCCATGTTCAGAACAGCATAACTCATAACAGCTAAATCTTAGAAGCAGCATTTGTATATCCATCTATTAATGGATAAAGAAACTGTGGTATTTACACATAGTGGAGTTCTACTCTGCCATTAAGAAGGACAAACGAGTCATTTGTAGGAAAATGGATGCACCTTGAGTCCATAATTTCAGCAGAATAAATCAGACAGACAGCTTAACTCTCACATGGTTTCCCTTATATGAGAAACACAAATTATAAATAAAGTAAAATAAAAGATAGGTAATAAGGAGTGGGGAGATACATTTTTCAAATGGAAGGGGGAACAAGACACGGAGAGAGGTGGGAGGGACAGATGGGAAGGGAATGTAAAAAGAATAAAAATGTGCCATGTACTTGTATGGACTCCCACGATGAATGTAAGCATTGTGTATCATAAATATGTGCTAATTTTAAAAAGCAAGCTGGGCTGGAACTTGTTATTTCCTTCTCCACCCCGACTTCCAGAGTGCTGGGGTCCCGTGGTGTGAGCAGCCCCACAATCAGCCTGGATTGTTTGTTTTGACACAGGGTCTCACTATGTAGTAAAGGCTGGCCTTGACCTCACTGTGTAGCCTGGGCTGGCCTCAAACTCACAGCAGTCCTCCTGCCTCAGCCTCCCGGTTAGCCAGTATTTAAAACTAACAAGTCACAGTTTTTTTTCTTCCCCTATTTTCCACCAAGGAGAATTACATATGTGTGCATGACATACATATGTATATACGCAGCCAGGCAGAGTACACTACATTATACATGATTCAATAAAAATTATTTTTAAGATTAAGGATACCATTTATTTAGCCTTAACTCCAAGGCATTGATAGTCCTGGAAATAAAAGAAGAGTAGCCACTTCTAAGCCATCTACTGAGTCCAACCACATATATTAATTCCATTTTATCTGTCGTTACCATTCAAGCGACAGTTTCCTAAACATAAACAAGCAGAAGCATTTTCACCAACCTGCTTCCAAGAAAGGCTAATAATAGGCAGGAGAGAGGCGCTGGAGTCCGGTCACTGACCCAGATGCCATCGAGGCTGAGGTGGGAGCAGCTGTGGAGCAGCTCCAAGTAACGCAGTCCAGAGCACGGCGCAGCGCTCGCCTGGCCTGGAAACAGCCTAACTAAAAAGTGGTTGAGAAACTGCCGGGCCAGCCAAGCAAAATGCTCCTGTTGAACTAAACGCACCTGCTAGCAAGCCATCGGTCTAGAGTTCTCCTCATCAGCTGCTGGTCGTTTTTCTTGTAGGAAAGACATAAATACTGAGCACTTCGCTTCTTGAGAGCTGTAGTCCTTCAAAACTTCCAGCTCCTTGGCCACAGACTGAGCTCAGTGGTTTCGCTGCCTGCCTCACAACTGCAAGGACCGGAGTTCGATCCCCAGTACCAAAGCAAACAAACTTCCAGCTACGCAACAAGAGCTATGCAATTCAGCTATGAAAGGCTGAAAAGAAGTTTAAAATAAAAAGTACTCTCATGAGTTAAATAAGATTAATTTAAAACTTTGCTATTAATTCAACATCAATGAATAAAATCAGGGCAACTGAATACATTTTAAGGTCTATCAGTACCCTCTAAGATGACAGTACACCGTTTCGTTGTTGTTGTTTTTAGGATCCTGAAGATCAAACCCAAGGCCTTTGCACTGAGCCACACCACCCTGGCCTTTTAATATTTTTTGAGGAAGAATCTTGCTAGGTCACTAAATTGCGCTGGCTGGGTTCTTAGTTGTGATCCTCCTGCCTCAGCTTTCCAGAATGCTAGGGCAATAGGCCTGCACCGGGCACCACACACAGGTAGTGTATTGTTTTTGTATAGTTATATTGCTTTTTTGTATGACATAAATTATTTAATTACTGGAATAAGTCTCTTTTAAAAAGCACATTTAACTCAAAGATGACTCATATACATAATCCATAAAGATTTTCTTTTTCCTGGGAGAAAATGTTTAATCAAGAAAACTCAACAAATAATTGTGGATTTAAAATGGAAACCACAGGCTGAGACAGGAGGATTGCTGTGAGTTTGAGACCAGCCTGGGCTACAAAGTGAGTTCCAGGTCAGTCTCAACTACATAGTGAGACCCTGTCTCAAAATATAAAAAAATCAACTACATAGTGAGACCCTGTCTCAAAAACCCAAAATAAATAAATAATAAAATGGAAACCACATCCATCACTTTGTTTTTTAATTCCAGCTCTTTAGACTTAGGAGAAATTTTCCATGACAGTCACACTCCCCTAGGGATTCCCTCAACATTCCCCTTGCTCCACGCTGGGATTGAACCCCAGAGTATTTTAATAATTATTCAGAGAGGGTGGGGAATTTAGCTCACATTCCACATTCAGAGAAACAAAACTATAAAAAAGTTTATGATTTAGATAGAATGTTATGATTAGCTTGATTTGCCTGCATTATCTTCAAACGTTTTCTATTTGCAACTAAAATATATGGTTATTTCTAACAGTTCCACTCTCAGGTATATAAGCAAGAAAACTGATGTGATGACCACACAAAAACTCACAGGTGAATGTTCACACACATTCAGAGAAACAAAACTATAAAAAAGTTTATGATTTAGATAGAATGTTATGATTAGCTTGATTTGCCTGCATTATCTTCAAACGTTTTCTATTTGCAACTAAAATATATGGTTATTTCTAACAGTTCCACTCTCAGGTATATAAGCAAGAAAACTGATGTGATGACCACACAAAAACTCACAGGTGAATGTTCACAGCATCTGTTCACAATAGCTGTCATGGGCTGGGATTCAGCTCAGTGATTCTGCAGCCTGCCTCATAAGCGCATGGTCTCAATTTCGATCCCCGGTATGAAAAAAACAAACAGACAAGTGTAATAGCTGTTATGGCTGGTATCTAGATGCCTCATGCTCTCAGGTGGGGCTTTGGGAGGCGACAGGAGATGGGTGCACAACACTGGGCGAGTCCACTGATTGGTTTAGCCTAGTTCTGGGTGTGGGTGATGGAAAACTCACTCTGGATGAGGATCCATGAGGCTCAGAGCCCTGACGGAATAAAAAGGGAAGCAGAAAGAAGACCCATTGCTTCCTGTCAGCCATGCCACAGACTGTTTCTCCTCTACCATGCCCCCGTCACACGGCCACGCTGCCCTGCCTCGGAGCCAGCTGACTACAGACTGAAACCTCTACAAACCGTGAACTACAATAAACCTTCCCTGCTCTCACTTGTGGGTGTCTGGTATTTTGTTCCATAACAAGAAAATAACCAAGAAATGGAAATAACTAAAAAAAAAAAAAAAAATGGAAATATCTCAAACGCAACAAAACAAAAAGGCTTACAGTGAACAGACACATAAAATGTGGTCTACCCACGTAACAGAATCCTATGTACTACAACTAGGAAAGGACGGCCATGTGTGGGGCGCGTGCCTGCGATCCCAGCACTTGGGAGTGGAGGCGACAGGCTCGCCATGGATTCCAGGCCAGCCTGAATTACATGGCAAGACCGCCTCAAAAAAATAAAGGAAAACATGGATGGCCCTTGAAAATATTGCGACACGTTCAAATACTGCATTCTCTGATGTAAGAAACTGAATGTGGAAATAAGGACCGAGATGTATAATGGATGTTGGAAAATAGGAATAAAGTGCTCACATGGGAAGGGGAACAAGGGAGGTGGGAGGGAGAAAGGAACAGACAAGAAAAAAAGTAAAATAGAAGGAAAAAATGGAAACAAAGCTTTTGTACATAGGGAGGGGTGGGGGCAGAGGGTGGAATGGGACAAAATAAAATGTATTTTTTAAAAAAGAAAATATTCTTTAAAAGCACAAGGTCCTGAGTTCGATTCCTGACACACACACACAAAGAAAATATTGTGTGAAGTGACAGACAAAAAAAAAAAGCCACATATTAATTCCATTGATACGAAATATCCAGAATGAATAGATCTATCAGATAAATGGTAATTAGTGTTTGTCAGAAGCCAGAAGAAGGAAAGAATGGGAGTAACTGCTCAAAGATGTGGGGTTTCTTTCTGGGGTGATAAAAATATTGTGGAATTCACAGTGATGATCGTACAACTCTTGTGAATATTACAACACAGCACTGTCCACCTCACAAGGGCAAACTAAGGAGCAGAAGGTGCAGCTCAGTGGAAAAGTGCACGTTTAGAGTGTGTGAGATCCTGGCTCACTCCTCGGCACAAGACAGAAACATGGGAGGAGGGAGATGGGGGGGGATAGGAAGAAAAAGAAAGAAAGGTAAGGAGGGAATGAGGGAGGAAAAGAAAGAAAAAGAGGGAAAAATCTATATGGCATGTGAATTCTATCTCAGTAAAACTGTAACCCTCTAACCTATTTACATTGAATTTCTACAATTCCTATCTATTCTACTAAAAGATATAAGAACCTAGTACACAAGGGTGTTTATTAAATTCTAAAAACTGTTTAACCAAACACAGTTGAATAATGTAATTCTCAATATAGCTATAAAAGAGAAGACAAAATAATTTCTTTAAACGTAAATATATTTAAAAAATTAAAACACCTAAGAAATGCAATCTATAAATATGAAAAAGTAAATATTTATATGCATAACAGGTAGTAGCAACATTATCCATAAGCAGCAGTTAGTATTTATTTTCCCCATATTTTGGTTTAACACCATAGTGGTAGTTTACTCTTTTTAGGGAAATTATATAAGGTTACATATAGCATATTATGAGCAAGTTATAGAAGAATGTATAGTTGGAAAATTAATTTCAAATAACAGTATTTTCTCTAAAAACATTATTAAACAAATTAGTTTAAACTAGTGGACAAAATGAGCCTATAATTTACTAAGTTCAAGATAGTCAACTTACATAAAATTACATATGGTATTTTAAAAACAGTCTATTTCTAAAATATCAGTAATTCAGGCAATTGGGATTTCCACAGGAGATAAACAGCCATTCACTTACTTTTTACAAAGAAAAAGTCTGCATTAAGGACATTACAACTGTTATTAAGAAATGTGACAGCATACTTAAAAGTCAAATGGTGAAACATGTTCTTCAGTTTATTCATTTACTGGTACTGGCCCTGCAGTAGCACTTCAGAAGGTGATCTAAATCTAATAATCACATTTCCAAATGGTTTTGACTTTTATTCTCTTCTAGAAGTGCATATGACATGCATAGTTTAGTTCAGAATTATTAATTTCCATTATAAATGGGAACTTATACTGAAAAGATGTAAGAAATAAAGTATTTGGATTGTCTACTACTTTATTCAAAAATATCTATGGATACCACAAAACCAACGTTTACACATAAGCAAAATACCAAGAATTTCTGATTTGGGAGAAATGAAATAAAATACAGTGAGCAGTTTTTCTCTTCATCTCTATCTGTAAAAAATCCCTTTTGCCTATTTATTTGACCCGTCTCCATGCAATTTAAGGAACCCTCAAAAGAATTTACACATCTTTATACAGAATGCACATCTACATCAATAAACTGTCAGTCCTTTTATATTTTCAGTGCCTTATCAAAATATGGGTAACAAAGTTCTTCATTCTATGAGGCAGGAAGATGTTTCCTAAGAACTTCTTTGGATGATGAAGATATGGTATCTGGGAAGCACACGTCGAACTCTATTAGGAGGTCACCACGCTGGTCAGGATTTTTGGGAAACGGCAGCCCATACCCAATGATCCTTCTCCTCATTCCAGGTTTCACGATATCATTTATCGACATAGGTATGTTCCTTCCATCCATTGTTGGCACATTAATTGAGCAGCCACACAATGCCTAAAAGGGACCAGATAAAATTAACAAACTCCAAAACTTAAAAATCTAACGGAAAATATTACCAGGTGGTAAAGGCTAGTGCCATTAAGGTCAAATTTTAATTTCCAAAGAATAGAAACACTCATGAAACTGTTCAGAACATGCATCAAAAGGCAGGAAAGGAAGGAAAGAGAAGTCAATAAATGAGTTCAACAGTGCCCTAGAATGAAATAGGTAACATGAGGCTGCTATTGTAATATTCAAAATACAGGAACTGGACTGGGAGAAAATAAAGAAACTTAGAATTGCAAAGAACAGACAGAAGCACTTTGGTTAGCAAATGTTTACTCAGTACAAATGTGCCACACACTTCCTGTTGAACCACAGAAGGACCCCACCTCAAGGGACATACAAGGCAATCCCAGGAACGTACACGTACACTAGCATACACAGCAGTGTGGCCACAGAGGCAGGACAGGCCTTGTGTGAGAGCAAAGGCACCCCACATTGTCTCCTTAGCTTCTGGGAGAGTGAGGTTCTGAGCAAAGCCTGAAACCGGCAGCAGGTGTTAGGCCAAGCTGAATGAAGATCAATAGCTCCACAGAGCAGAGCTCACGCAATGGCAGAAAAATAAAAGGCAATAACCGTACAAACTCAGGGAAAGAAAACACACTTTTAGGTAGAAATGAGATTTACAACAGCCTTTAATTTTAAGCTAAAGTTTGGCCTTTAAGGTAGAGGCCATGCCGTCATTCAAGCATTTTAAGCTGGGAATTCACACAGTCACATTTTATGGGTTACAATCCAATGTGAAATAGTGCAGATAAGAACTCAAGTACTACTGTTTTATTAACATTATTATAAATTTATAACATTTAGTATCAACTATTGTAATGCTTTTGGTAATATAACCACTACTCCAAATTAATAATTTCAGAGCAAATTTTACAAATGATCTAAGCAGATGAAATTACCAATCTCATAGACGACAAATGCAAAACCAGTAGAACGTAGTCTAGTTTGCATTTAAACTTGACATTTAAGTAGTTAACCTAAGTAACTTAAGAAACACACTGTCGGCCATGAAAGAGACATAACAGTAGTGGTACAGTCGCAAACCAAACAGGATGAGAGCAGAACTAATTCGGTGGTTAGGTTCGATGCTGCCCTTGTGGGGAATTTTGATTTGGTTCTCCTCCAGCTCAGTTTGCAACCAGAACTGTAGAGAGAACTGAGTTCGTGAACCAAGGCACACCTAACTCAAGAGAGTAGTTAAGAGCTGTGTGGTAAGCACTGAATAATGTTAGCTACTATTTAGATAATTCCTTAAGTTAGTCAGCTGCATAAGTTTGTTTGGTCGCAGAATCATACATTTTAAAAAATAGAAAAGTAAAGCAAATGATTAGAGGTCTTGGGACCAACATGATCTATTCTCAAACTTTAAACTGTTAAAAAAAAATCACAAACTTCTAACTTACCTCCCGTAAACTAATTTTAGCAGTATAAATTATATTTGATCCATCTCTTTTGAACTTTGGGTGATCTTTGTCTTTGATAATGAAAACAATGTCTGCTGGAATACTATTTGGTGTTTCATCTCCTTCCCTTGGAAAAGTAATTTTGGTGCCTTCTTTCCACCCTTTTTTAATCTCAATGGTGAGAATTTTGTCCTCAGATCTGTAACTCCTTCCATCAGGGTTTAATCTTTTTCGAGAAATTTTCATCCTTTTGGTGCAACCACTGTATATTTCCTCCAGTGAGACTCGAAGTTCGTGAATAACTGGGGGGTCTTGTTTCAGACGGGACGGCCCCACAGAATTCCTGTCTCTCGGATATCCATTCATGCTGAATCCAAAGGCACTGAAGGGATCTCCATCTATTTCCATCTCTTCAGAATCCCTGCCGCCACCCATCCGTCTTCCAAAGAAAATTTCAAAGGGATTGGAACCTCCAAAAAATGCTGCGAATGTGGCATGAGGGTCACCGTGAAAAGTGTACCGGAAGGTACCACCCTGTCCATCGGTACCTCCTGCTCCTCCTTTCAACCCTAAGTGAAGAAATAAGCATGATTAGAAAAAAGCCTGCAACGCATTGACAGGTAAGACTTTCAAAACTGTATTTCAGAGCCAGGTGTGGTGGCACACGCCTGTAATACCAGTACCCAGGAGGCTGAGGCAGGAGGGGATAGCTGTGAGTTCAAGGCCAGTCTGAGTTACAGTTAAGCTCTAGGCTGGCCTGGACTACACAGTAAGACCCAGTCTCAAAAAGCAAAGCAGAACAAAACAAAACAGCCTTATTGCTAATAAAGATTGGCCTATTTAGTTTCAAATTTATTAATGACCAGAAATGTCATTATAACTAAATACAGAACAGCTGTGTCTTTCTCTGTGCACCCACACTCCTCTTGAGTGCCTCCTAAAATCTCTGCCTAAACCCTTTCCATGCCTCTAAGTAATAAAATAAAAACAGAATAGCTATGTAACTTCTGACAGTTCCATCCAATTAAATTTTTAGTTTTCAAATTCTTTCTCTAAATCATAAGCTTTAATAATTTATTCCTGGGCTGGAAATGTAACTCAGTGGTTGACCATTTGCTTAGCACACGTCTGGGTTTGATCCCAGCACAGAATGCACCTACACACAATAATGACAATGACGATGATGATGATGATGATGATGATAGTAATAATAATAACAATAATTCAGGAATAATAATTATATATTATAATAATTATTATTATCATCATTCATTCCTGAATCTTTGTTTCACAGTAAATAAGAAAAAATAAGCTAAATTTGAGACTTTCTTATCTCAAAAACTGCTGGTCTGGCATACTAAAGCACATGAATCTAAATTTTTGAAATATGCCAAGTAAACTGGGCATTAGTGGCACAAGCCTATAATCCCCGCACTCAGGAGGCTGAGGCAGGAGTTTGAGACCAGCTTGGGCTACACAGAGTTCGAGTCCAGATTAAACTACACACATATAGCAAAGTCCTTTCTCAAAACAAAACTAACAGAAAAAGTATGCCAAGTGAGAACAGCAGCAAACAAAGTCAGGTGAAAGGCCTCAGTAATCAATGCAAAATGCAGAATCTATATCTTTAAGTGCCATTATAATCAATAAGCACAACCAATGCTCTGCAGTTCATATTCATACTAAACAGTTTTATTTCAGGCCATCTTTTACTAAGGAATTAAAATAATTCCAGCTAATTGGGAAACTGAGCAGAAGGGCCAGAAGTCAGAGGCCAGCCTGGGCAACTTAGCAAGGTCCTGTATCAGAGTAAAAATAGACAATGGGATGGGGATATAGCTCAGTGACAGAGCGCTTGTCTAGCATGTGTGACTTAAAACTGGAGGGAAAAATGAAAATAGACTCTTTCCATGGCAGATAGTGAACAAATCATACTAAGGACACTCTATGAAAAATGCTTTTTAGACACTAAAATTGTTATTCCCATCCAAAATACCAAACTTGTTTATGTAAGTAAACCGCACAACAGCATTAATTCAAAGCATATTAAAAAAAAGATTGAAATCAAGAGTTGTAAATCCTCTTGCCATGTAGGGCCTTTGGAAAGGTGACTTGTGTCTATCGTGGGCAATCCATTTCAGACTGGAACAGCAGCTCAGCTCAGCTAAGTAACAAACAGCTCACAAAGATCTTATGTATGTATCTGAAATAGCATTTCAACTATGCATCCAAGACGGATTCTACTAAACCTCACAAGAGAACAGCAGAGTCTCTTTTAAGGGATCAGTACTGACAAAGAAGGAGAAAAGTCTCTGGGGAAGCCTGATGGGTATACTTAACCAAGGAAACAGGATAATAAAGATTTGAGAAATGTAAAGTTTAAGCTGGGTAACTCATATGCCTATGTACATTCTTTTATACAGGGAACAATCTGAGGGCGGGAAATATTTTCTATTCATTTTTGCAATGCTCATGCATATAAGGTTGACAATGACAGGCACTGATTACTGAGTGAAGAAAATCAACTAATTCTTAAAGTCCTACATCAAACTAGGAAAAGGTATCTTCGAGTATCAGTACAGAGAAGTCAGAACAAAAGCAATGCAAAATATAATCAATCACCTATGCACACAAAGGGATTTAGTAATTTAAATTCCACTTGGGCTGGGGATTTAGTTCGGTGGTTCTGGCACCTGCCTCGCAAGCACAAGTACCCAAGTTCAATCCCTGGTACCAAAACAAAAAATAATGATAATAATAATAATAAATAAAATAAAATAAAAATTCCACTAGCTCCGGGCATGGTGGCGCATGCCTGTAACCCCAGCACTTGGGAGGCTGAGTCAAGGAGGATTACTGTGAGTTTGAGACCAGCCTGGGCTACACAGGGAGTTTCAGGTCAGTCTCAACTAGTGAGACCCTGTCTCAAAAACAAACAAACAAACAAAGTAAAATTCCACTAGCAATTCTCCTCATACTTTCAAAGAGACTTAGTTGTGCATATTTCCTATTCTTCCATTTGGCTTCTTCAATGAAGTGATATGTGTGTATTCTGAATCATCTCACAAAGGCTCAACTGATGTCTAAATTTTTACCTTCCTCCATGAATAAAAATCTGAAGAGACCAAGAGAAACCTAATAGTTTGAAAATCATCAAAACATATATTGAAGGATATATCTAAATACAGTTAGGGAAATTCTTTGTAGAAACTGAATGCCACTTATAAGCAGGATAAGAATTTTTAATATGCTGCTCCCTTTAGTAAATGTTAGCAGGATAAGTACAGCTCCAAATGTTAAAAGGCTAATGACAGATTTTTTTAAATGATAGAATACATATAATTCAAGGTCATGCTTAAATCAATTCAATCAGTTTATCTTTTATCCCACAGATATAGTGTAGAATAATCTATCAAAGCTAAGTGAATTGGAAGAAAAAAAATGATAAAGAAAAGGAAGAAGAGAAAAGAAAAAGGGATCTGGGGTGTTGCTCAGAGTCGAGTGCATGAGGCCCTGGGTTCAAATCCCAGCACCACAAAAAAATAATTAAGTAAATAAAGATGGAGAGATGGATGAGTAAGCTGAGTAAATCAGTTTATGCATGCTAATCTTCTACAAGATTAAAAAAAATGCTTTGGACCAATAATGGCTTCATGAAGAGAAAGAATAACATTTTAAATTATTACATCATGGATTTGGCTTTTCCCTAAAACCTCTTCCCTCTGCCAAAAATGGTAGCATATTCAGGCTTACAGAGTCTGTGAGAAGATTCACACAGTCTGAAATGACTTCATATTTACCTAAGCTGACAAAAAGCCACCAATGCAATTTTGAGGTTTTCCTAGATATTAAACAGTCAAATGTGCAGCTTTCAGAATGAAGCTACTTTAATGACTGAGAAAATCCTATCAAAATTCATGTTGTTACTACACCATGAATTATTATGCAGGAATCATTTGCATTGCCTAGCACTTGAATTGTAATAAGCATGTCACCAACCATAGCTCTTCATTATGGACTGCTTTTATTTAAAAACTAATCAACCAACCAACCAACTTGCAATCCAAAAGCAAATATGTGTTTGGAATACTATCCATAACAATGACTTTCACTTGCTACTAATGGGACTTAAAGTTCATCCAAGGAGAAACACTGGAGAACTAGGACTTCAAAGAATGGCAGTACTTTAATAACTTACTTTCAGGAGATCTAATATGTGAAGTCCAGATTATAGCAAGACTTCAAGTACAGAACAACTAAAGTCTTCAGTTTTAATCCACAAAATCCAGTTGACTTAAATATTTTTAGAACATAGTAAATAGATCTAGTTGTTTAAATACGTAAGTTAAAGAACAAAAACAGCAAACTAGTAAAATGATTAACACAGTATAATTTTGATCATAATCACACTACCTTTCAGTATCTGAGTAAAATACTGAGTAATTTACAGGCAAGAAACAATACAAAGAAGACATAAAGAAAAAGAAATGTTGGGCTGGGGATTTAGCTCAGTGGTTCCGCCACCTGCCTCACAAGTTGTGGACCTAAGTTCAATCTCTGGTACCAAAAAAAGAAAAAAAAAAAGAAAAAGAAATGTTATAGAACTAGAATAAATGAGGATGTGTTTTTCTTTCTTTAATCTTGTAATACAAACTTCTGTTCACATCTACTGAAACACTCAGAACTAAATCTAAAACTTTAAGGGAGAAAGTCATTCAAAATCCAATTTTAAATATCTGTAGTTCTGGGTTTTTAAAATTTAAATATTCAACTATGGGGCCGGGGATTGAGCTCAGTAGTTCTGCTGCCTGCCTCACAAGCACAAGGTCCTGAGTTCAATCGCCGATACAAAAAAAAAAAAAACAAAGATTTAACTGTATTTTATCTATCTTTCTTTCTTTCTTTTACTGTTTAGTTTTGAGACAGTCTATGTAGCCCAGGCTAGCCTTGAACTCACAGAACCTCCTGCCTCAGCCTCCTGAGTGCTAGGATTACAGGTGTACACTGTTATACCTGGCAACATTTCTTTTTTTAAAAAAACAGACTTATTCCATGACACAAAATTAACCGCTTGTAAATATATAGCTCAAATGCAGTAAATTTTTAGTTGTGTCATCATCACAATGTATAAATGGAACGTTTCTATCATTCTAAAATGATAAAAATTCTCCAACCTTATGCTGCTATGAGGCTGTCTTCATATGGACATATATTTTCATTTCTATTTTACATAGATTTCTAGAATGTGAATTGTTGAGTCAGATAATTATTTGTACTCGGAACTGAACCTAGAGTCTTCTCACTGAAGTACATCTCGAAGTGCTTTTATTTCTTATGTTGAAACATGTACTTACTAAATCAATGAGCTGTCCAGGTTGGGCTAGAATTTGTGATCCTCCTGCTTCAGGCTCCCAGAGTACTATGAGTATAGGAGGCCACCACTATGCCTGGTTAACAATTTTTGTCACTTTTAAAAAAACAAAGTATCTTAAATTGAGTAGAGATTTTCAGAATATGAATAGGCTGTAACAGTGGTTCTCTTAATTCCTAAATATATAAATTCAACCTCAGCTCATACACTTCTCAGTTCGTAGTTTCTTATTTCCACTGTTCCAGCTCCAAGACTTTAATAATTTTTTTTAAAGTACATCAGGTAAATGAAGTATCCTCACAGTCTTAAAATTCAGTTCTGCAGACAGAACAACAAAAAGCAAAGAGAAAAAAGGTTTCCCTCACTTTGACAAAGTACTAAAGGATTTTTTTTCTTTTCTTCTTCTTTGGGAGAAGCTGAGAATTGAACCCAGGTCCTCGTGCATGTTAGGCAAGTTCTCCATCACTGAGCAACACCCTCAGCTCCTAAAGGGGTTTTTAATGAGCTGGGCATGGTGGCATGTGCCTGTAATCCTAGCAATTTAGGGGGCTGAGGCGGGAAGATCCCAAGTTTGAGTGCTGTCTAGGGAACTTGTCCAGACGCAGTGTGGCAAAGCTCCCTGGGGTTCCAACCCCAGTACCACAAATAATAAAACAGTAAGAATGATAGAGGGGGAAGGGGACATAAAAAGAATTAAGAGGTGTTATGTGCATGAACCATCTCCCCATGATGAATGTAATCATTATGTACTGCAAACATGTACTAACAATTTTTTTTAAATAATAACTTTAAAACCAAGAAAATTGTATCATTTGGTGACTTGGAAATTCTGAAGACAAATATCCTTAATAAACCTGAATCCTATAACTTAGTCACAGATAAATTTGAATAATCAATGAGCTATGGCCAAATACCATAGATTTAAAGCAGTGGATATGTGGTTTTTTATGATAATTTACAAAATTACAAAAAAAAAAAAAAAAACCTCATTAAAAAATAGTAGTGGAATGTCAGAATTCCTTAGTCTTGGACATGTCCCAAATCATGGTATTCTGAGTAGTATGGCCATAGGGAACATTAGGAATGAACTACCACTATCTGTTTTGTCAATATTGACTTTGTAAAAACCTGACACTGCAGATCCGCATAGCAACATCAGCAGCAGAATCTTCATTTTTGAAAATAAAGAAAAGGGCTAGCAAAAAAGTTTTCATATCTACAGTGACTTAAGACATTTTGAGAGAAAGGCTAATAATCAAGTACCTTAGATCTGATTTTAAAATTTGAAACCCCCAGAACCTATAGGAACCAGAGAGTTTGGCTGTTGTTCTTGTTAATTCACAATTTGAACAGTCTTACTTTTCAGCTGAGTTTATATGGACTCTAATTTAAAATCCAGAATGATAAAAGGAGTCTTCAATTACCCCCATTTACTGTGTTCACTTATTTCTGATTTTACAATGCAAGAAACAAAAGTATGTCAGGGAGAGAAAAGGGCAGTTGTCCTGCTTTCCTCTACACCTAGATAGTAAATTTTTAAAGGAAATACTTACCTAAAAGAAAATCAGTAATTGTTCTAATAAGGTGGCCATTTTAGGTCAAAAACTGTATTTCTGAGATCTCATTTTCTTGGCACACAATTACTGTTTACAATTAAACTAAAAACTTGTTCTGGTATTTTATGACATCAGGAAAATTCTTTCCTCTCTAGGCAGAATGCCAACAACAACTAGAAGCCGAATGCCTGCGCCTTCTGCTTCTAAGATAGAAGACTGTGTCCTGTTCGGTTTAGACCAGTCTTGCTCTAACAGAGAGAGGCAAGAAACTTCTTTTTGCTTTTGGGAATAAAATATGAACTACCCAGAATTGAACTGCCAATCTTAAGATTTTAAGTGACTGACGGCTCTCTATTCTGGCAGTAATTTCTTGAGAAAACAAAACAGCTTGCATAAGACTTTTGACACAGTTCATTAATGGGTGTGGGAATTCAAGGTTTCTTTAAAAATATATAATGTTTGCGTCACAAGTCTGATGGTGGAATATGTACAATTCAAAATGCTAAATCCTTCCCCAAAAGGCAAACGAGGACTTTCATTCACAGCTATGCAATTCTCATTCATCTAACTAGGGATGAAATTTTGTTTTCATCTATTATCACATCTCTAAGAATCTAATGATAACCAGAAGGCTGCGAAAGAAAGTAAATAAAGGCAGAGCTGAAGAGTCAGAAAAATTTGCACAGACTACTTACCTTCCTCCCCAAACTGATCATATATCTCTCTCTTTTTAGGATCACTCAATACTTCATAAGCTTCTGCGACCTCCTTAAATTTTTCCTCTGCCTGAGGAGATTTGTTCTTGTCCGGATGAAATTTGAGGGCTTGTTTTCGGTAAGCCTTTTTAATATCTTCATCGGAGGCTCCTTTCTCAATTCCCAGAATGCCGTAATAGTCTTTCCCCATTTCGAATGCCTTGAAACGAACTTAAGTTGCTCTCCCTTTGTAAAAGAAAACAGCGGCCCTAGTCTTAGCAAACGATAACTCTACGGAAAAGAAACCAAGCTGGGTATTTTAAAAGTTAAAGCAAACCAGCAATTGAGCTGGCTGTCTCCGGGGAGCAGGCAGACAGAGCCTCCGTATCTACTGTAACTCCTTCCGCAGCAGCTCGCTCCCAGATAAATACTCGCCGCACGGCGCCGGCCTCGGCCCGCCCCTTCCACTACGTGTCTCCGCACTTTCTAGAACCGCGAAGACTCAGGACGTCACTTTCCCAGCTGCCTCTAGTCAAAGTACTAGGTTGTTTTCTCCTCCTCCGCGATTAACTATTCATGCTCCTGCTGGTCTACCATTTCTACAGCCTAGTGGATTTAACAAGGCAGTTTTTCAAAACAGAATGTCATAACTACGTATTTACTTACTCCATTCTAGTTGAAAAAGCAACAAAAATAATCATTACGCAGCCTATGTTAAAATGTTATCGTTATTACAAGTAAAAGTGCCTTAAACTTCTTTTAATTTCAAATTATTCAATTGTAAAACACTAAAATATTAATTTTTCAAATAATGTCATTTTGAAAATTCCTGGAGGCTGTCAATCAGGAAGTCAATATACCAACTTCACGTTGTAAATAGGCTACCAAAAAATTTAAAAATAGCATTTCAAAATAGACAAATATTTAAAATAGTGTTTCGTAGTATTCAAGATATAACAGCTCTTACAAACTAAATTTGGAAACTTAATATAGTGACTTCGAATGAAACAGAGAGACCTCACCCTACCCAAGCCCTAGCTTCTAGGGTCACTATTTAAAGAATTTTTCTGTTGCAGAAACATTAGAAAACAAATATCAGGTGCAGGTAATAATACTCATATTCCTTATAAGATCATAACTGGATCAACTAAATGTCTAGGTATCCTATTTGAAAAAAATTTTTTTCTTTTAAAATACGTTTTCTCTATATATGCATATATATGTGCATATATATGCATATACAGAGAGATGGACAGATTTTGGCAAACAAAATCTCCCTATGCTACCATTTCAAGTAATCTGCTAAACGTTAGTGTATTTCCTTCTAATCTTTTTTCTAGAAATATTTATGGTTATTTACTGTGGGTCTTGTTTTGTCTTTGAGGTAGGGTCTCGCTATGTATCAGGCTGGCCTTGAACTCTATGTAGTCCAAGCTGGCCTCGAACTCATGGCAATCCTCCTACCTCCACCTCCCAAGTACTGGGATAACAGGTATTGCACTACCATGCCTGGCTTTTTTTTTTTTAATTCATTGTTTGTTATATTTTAGGTATACATTATGATCACATTCATCATTGGAAATCCAGGGTGTTTTTGAAGAGATCCTCCAGCCTCAGCCTCCCAAATGCTAGGATTATAGGCGTACCCCACCACACCCAACTAGTTTTGTGTTTTTGTTCATTTTTTTGGTATCAGGGATTAAACTCAGGACCTTATGCTTGCCAGGCAGACGAAAAGCCACTGAGCTAAATCCCCAGCCTCACAGTTTTGTATTTTTTAATAACAAAGTTTTATTTTCTTTCATTTTGATTTTTGAGACAATGGACCCTTGATTCACAAACTCAATTGGTTCTAGAGGGCTGCTTGTAACTCAAGTTGGCTGAAAGTCAGTACAACTGAAATCTGGGTACCATTATAGAAAACAAGAGGCACATGAATCTTCCATTAATCTAGTTAAACCAAGTCGTTCATACATCAGGCTGGTCATAAATTGAGGGTCCACTGTAGTTCAGTCTGGCCTTGAAATACAATGTAGTCTGGACTGGACTCACCACCATCCCCCTGCCTCAGGCTGCCATGGAGGTGAGCAATGGAGGCCAGCACCACTACATCCACCTTTCTTTTTTCTTTTAAGAGTAGAAAAAATTGCCAGGCATGGTGGCGCTCACCTGTAATCCCAGCACTCAGGACGCTGAGGCAGGAGGACCACTGTGAGTTCGAGACCAGCCAGGGCTACAAAGTGAGACCGTGTCTCAAAAAAACAAAAAAAAGAGTAGAAAAAATTTATTGAAAGATACCTTTTAAGAAAGAAAAAAGGGAAAAAGACAGAAAGGGACCAGAAAGTGGGTTGCCTGCCCACCCCACTTTTCAAAGGTGTTTTTTACCATAGTTTCCTTTCTTTTTTGGTACCAGGGATCAAACTCGGGACCTTGCACTTGCAGGCAGCAGCACCACAGCTAAATCCCCAGCTACCATAGTTTTGAATGATCCATAACAGTAGCCAGCTACCAGTGTGGCTGGAAAGTGCCAGAAGGGGTCAGTGATTGGAGCCCTGTTTTATATTTAGCTTTATTATTATAGTTATTAATATTTTAGTCATACTTTTCCACTGGGTGCTTAAGACCAAGTTAAGGTGAGACCTGTGTCAAACACAATTAACCTCTTGCTAGCTGTCAAGGTTTGTTAAGCGTCTTCAGACATTGCTTTGGAGCCACAGTCTCAGCTCTTCCATCAGTGTCAGCCATCAGGATGGTCACGGCCGTGTTTGACCATGTTGCTTTTGCACACCCAGCCTTTCTTAACAAGTTTAAATCACAACGTTTATATTACATACCTATTGATGCTGGCTTTTTCTAATACAATATATTTTGAGTATTTCTGAGATACATCTTTAATATGTTTAACGCATTTTTTTATCTCCTCCGTGGCTTTCTCATCTTTTCAAAATTGGTCCCATTTCTGGGTTTCTTGCTTTTGTTTTTGTGGGGCTGAGGATAAAATCCAGGGCCTTATCTATGAGTTATACTCCAGCTCCAAATGTAAACATAGTATTGGAAAGATGGATTAATAAAATGAGTCAGAAGAACTGTACTCAGTCTATTCTGTACTTAAATACCTTAAGTGTCTATAAACTTGAAAACAATTTTTTATGAGAAGTGGACATGTATGTTTAGAATACAAAGAAAAGGTTATGATGATGTGATCCTTTAAAAACATGGGGCCACCTATTCCACAGGCGTCAGTGATGATGATTCAGCATCTCCTCCTGAATGGCTCATCTTTGCATATTCTAACAGCTATAGTTTTTGAGTTCTCCAAACTCTCTACTTTTTTGTTTCTTCGAGACAGTGCCTCATCTAGGTAGTTCAGACTGGCCTTGAACTCACTATGCAGCCCAGGCTGACCTCCAACTCCCAGCAATCGTCCCGCCTCAGCCTCCAGAGTGCTGGGATTACAGGCATGTGCCACCAAGCCCTGCAACTCTCTACTCTAAAAAGCACCTTGGTATTAAAAATTTCTAACATCTACTTACCCTATTTTAGGTTAGAGGCTAGTTAGTATGATTTTTATTCTTAGCAAGGAATAAAAGTAAAAGATACTTTTCAAGTACAAAATCTAAAGAAAAATATTAATACTGACAGTCACTTTCTACTTTTAAAAGTTGGAATCTACTTTAAGGAACAGTATTCCAAGTAAAGACAAAGTAAAAAACTCATCCAATGTGAATTAATTTTTAAGGCAGTTCTTTCAATATTCATCTTCAAAGGGATACTGACAATAGCATGTATGAAAAACCTGGAATTCTTCTAGTAGGTAATGCTGGGAGGAAAAAAAATTTTATCTGATTCAATCATTTTCAGAAATATTATCAGGACATGATATATTAAATCATTTTAGAACTCAAAAACTAGGTCACTCACATTCACAAGAAATGCATTATATATTCACAGATGGAATGAAATGTGGCTCACTAGACACAATTATTAAAATGTCATACACACATAAAAGAATCATAGTGATAAAGTTGAAAAGCAAGGATTCACCTCAACTTGGACATTCCAAGTCAATAAGCAGATATAATCTTGACTTAAGACTATCAAATAATAGAATACTCTAGGTAAGTTTTGCTAAAAATGAGTGGATACTGGGCCGGGGATGTAGCTCAGTGGTACCACACCTGCCTGGCAAGCACAAAGTCCTGAGTTCAATCTCTGACACTGAGGAAAAAAAAAAAAAAAATGAGTGGATACTTACACTTACAGCTCTGTAAACAATTCCTTCGAACTGTGATAATAAAAAGCCATTAAGTATGATTTTAGAAGTTCTAGACACATCACACCTGGAAATTTATCCTAAAAAAATAATTCAAAGACAAACAAGGTTACGTATACAAATGAAACAGTTCAGACAAAAATTATTAAATCTACAAATATACTAATTGGGAACAGAATAAAGTAATGGATCAATATGATCTCCATTAAATAGAACAGTGGAGACTAATCTGTGAAAAAAGAATGGAATATTTGTTTTCTGAAAAGTCTGCATTTCATCTTTTATTAAAATAATTGTTTCATAAATAAACATTACATATTTAATTTTGCTTTAATGATCTTCAAAAAAGATTTAAAATTAAATTCAAAAAATTTAAAAGTATGTGCCTTTAAAAAATAAAACAAAAATAAAATTGCTCTGAAAAGTTTATAAAAACTACTAGAGTTATTTGGAGCTATTCACAGATCAGAAATATTTTTAAAAATAAATTTACAAGGAAAAAATGGAAACAAAGTCTTTGTAAATAGGGAAGGGTGGAAGGGGTGAAGGGGAGCAGGGGAATGGGGAAAAAATAAGAACCAAGATATATCATGTAAAGGTACAAGATCCTAATGATGAATGTAACTGTACCTAAAAAGTACCAATAAATTTAATGAAAAAAATAACAATAAATAAATTAATTAATAAATTTCCTCACTGGGGATTTAGCTCAGTGGCACCATGCCTGCCTCACAAATAAAAGGTCCTGAGTTCAATCCCTGGTACCAAAAAAATTTTTTTTTCCTTTATGAGGCATAACTGATTTATTCTGTGATGATATTAAAATGTATTCTAATAAAATTTTCAAAAAATAGCTAGCCCTTCTTTATTGCTCTTTTCCACAAGAAGTCACTGAAAAGCTTACTAGAATTAGTAAACATATAGACAGCAAGCATACATTCCTAGCATTTTGGAATCATTTAAAATAAAGTGCTCTTCAAACTAACATTTAATATTCAATTAGCCAAAAGAAACTCTAGGTTATATAGAATTTCTAGGTTATTTTACATGGATCTTGATAAATTAATACTTGGTTATAACATTATATCAAAAGATCATATAATTAGGGTAATACTGTCCAACAGAAATGTAAAACAAGCTACAAATGTAAGTCACATAGATCTTAAATATTCATAGAATACACATTTTTAAAAAAAGAAAAAAGAAACATGAAAATAATTTTAAGAATGTTATTTTATTTAACTGAGTAGATTCAAGATATTTTCATTCCAACATGTAAATAATACAGAAATTATGAATGAGATACTTTACATTCTTTTTGTCTTTTTTTTTGCGGGGGGGGGGACTGGGGATCAAACTCGGGACCTTGTACTCGTAAAGCAGGTGGCAGAACCAAGGAGCTAAATCCCCGGCCCAACTTTACATTCTCTTTGGAAGACTAAGTCAGAAATCCCATCTGTATTTCATTCTTACAGATTCTCAATTCAGAGAGCTATATTTCAGGAACTTGGCAGCCTCATGCGACTACTACACCAGATAGTGCAGGTCTAGTGATTCTTCCGCATCACCAGTGCTAATGGTCCAATTCCTCAAGAATTTCAGCCTATTAATGTAATTACATCACACACACACCTCTCACAGATGTGCCTAGGAAGAATAAAGTCCTAACAACTGAACTCTACAAGAATTTCAGCCTATTAATGTAATTACATCACACACACACCTCTCACAGATGTGCCTAGGAAGAATAAAGTCCTAACAACTGAACTCTACAGGGAAGGTCATTTTTATATAAAAGTTCATTATAAAATAATGTTCTATGTCATGATATTATTAGACATATTCAATTCTTTATCTACAAAATAGAATTCTTTTCTTTTTCCTTTTCAAGTACTAGAGATTGACCCAGGGCTTCCTGCATTGTTAGTGTGCTACCAGGCCCTACACACTCAAGTGTTTTTATTATTTACCTTATGTCCTTATGGAGGCCCTACTGTGTAACGCCAGTTGTCTGTGCTATGTAGGATAAACTAGCATAACACAGGGACTCTGGCTCTCAAAAGGGTGATGCCATAAAGATATAGAGAATACTTATTGTCTCTTGCTACTTTTGGCACACAATGGGAGAGTGAGTAGTTGCAATGGAGACAATGACCAACGAAGCCTAATCTTGACAATCCCTGCTTTATGTAGAATTTTTTTTCCATTACTGTGGACTGAACCCAGGGCCTTGCTAGGCAAGCACTCTGCCACTGATATACATCCTCAATCCTTTTAAAAGTTTGTATTTTTTAATTAATTTCATTGGCACATTTAAAGTATACAATGTAATAACAATCATCACTGGAAATCTGCACCTTCACATAAACCATCTTGATTATTTTTCCCCCATTCCCCTGCCCTCCATTCAATCCCTCCAAACCTCCCTAGCTACAAAGACTTTGTTGCCATTTTTTTTTTCTCATTAGCTTCATTCCCACCTTTCTTTTCCCCTACTCCTCCTAGTTCCCCTTCCCCTTTGCACCTTTTCTTCCTATTTCACACTATCCATTATACCTATTAGTACTTATTTACACTTTCAGTATCTCACACTAGAGAAACTATTCAGTATTTACACATACACGTCCTATGCATTTCACTGAAGAGTACTGCCTCAACGTGCACCCATTTAGCTATAAATGTCTCTAGTTTCTCATTCTTTATGGCTGAGTAGTATTCCATTTTATAAGAAAATCACATTTTCTTTATCCAGTCTCCAGTTGATGGGTAATTGGACTGCTTCCAAGTTTTAGCTATCATGAATGGTGCTGCTATGACTCATCTTCAACAAAGGAGCCAAACACCCTTACTGGAGGAAAGATAGCCTCTTTAATAAATGGTGCTGGAAAAACTTGCTTTCAACTTGCCAAAGATTAAAACTAGATGACCTATATCTCTCATCATGCACTAAACTAAAATAAAAATGGATTAAAGTTCTAAATATTAGAACAGAAACACTAAACTGGTGGGAAGAGAGGTTAGGTAGAACCCTTGAAGACACTGGTGTAGGAAAAGATTTTATGAACGAAACCTCAATTATCCATGAAGTAGCTCAAACAATCGACAAGTGAGATCTTTCCTTATTAAAAAGCTTCTTCACAGCCAGAGAAACCACAAACAGGGTGAAGAGACAACCCACAATGTGGGGAAAACTTTTCACCAGCTCTTCACCAGACAAAGGTCTACTATCTACAATATATAAAGAATTTTTAAAAGTTTGTATTTTGAGACAGGGTCTCTCTAAATCACCCAGGAGGGCCACAAACTTGTGAAGTTCTTTCTTAGCTGTCTGAGTAGCTGAGATTACAGATGGGACCACTACACTCAGGCATCCAAATTATTCCTGACAGAAGGACCCGGCAGTCATAAAAAGCACTAAACACATGAAAGTTTACTGACCTGGAAAAAATGTAAAACTCTATACAAATGCTCATAAAGACCAACATCTTTCTGCTTGGCTCATGATAAAATAAAACCTGTACACCAATTTTCAACCTCCACATGCCTGCCAAGGAGGCTGTAAGAGAATATGTGGGGTAAGAATATCAAAAAGGAGTGCACGCACCATGGAAGGCTGAGAAAGACTGCTTAATGATCGTGCTGTCTTGCTCAGCTTGATCAATCCCATTTAACTCAACAGTACTGGCCTTAAATGACTTTGGCCATTCCCCTGGTACTACTGGTTGTTTCTCTTGCTCTCTTGCTGTGCAGAAGCTTTTTAGAACCCATCTCAAACAAACAAATCCAAAACCCTGATTTCATACATACTGACTTATATAGGATATTAACTGGCCAAGAGCACTGTGACTCATGCTTGACAAGCTTATCCAAAACATCTCTTTCCTCATATGAGCACATCATGGCCTTCTTGCACTTGGGAATATTAACCAAAATAGTGAAGTCACCAGCAAAAGCACAACAATGCAAAAACGTGTCAAAAATGGAAAGACTGGCTTAAAGAATAAAAACTAAAATAAGAACAAAAAGAGTGCTTGGGGTAGTGGCGCACAGCTGTAATCCTGGTACTCAAAGTACTCAGGAAGCTGAGGCAGGAAGAGTGTAGCAAGTTCAAGGCTAGTCTAAGCTACACAGTGAGTATAGGCCAGCCTGAACCCTGTCTCAAAAAATAAATAAATAAAAATAAAGGAGCTACCTTGCTGAACTTCAGCTGGTCTGTAAAACTCGAATGGCTACTTTACACAAGCTCATCTGCAAAAGCTCTCAACAGCACCTTAATGGAGATAAAAACAGATTTCAGTGAGCAGGCAACTTTGCAGATACAGAATTAACAAGAAGTGGCGGTCAACTGTATAATGATGTGCTAGTACTACCTTAAGTATCTAAACGGCCTAGGATCTGTCTAAACACAGTTTTTGAGCAGCAGCAATATTCATACACAGGCATCAGAAGTGCCTTTGACAGATGTGTTATGGACAAAGGACATGGGATGTGTGTCTGGAGGTACATCCAACCCCGGCCCTAGTCCGGGAACCTTTACCTACCTTGCTTTGAGACTCAGGCTTCAGCTGTGCTGCTGGGTTAGGTTCTCCTGACCCACTTTTCCCCACACTCAGCCGTGTTCTGACTTCTGTACATACCCGACTGCTCTGCCTTGCCCACTGGGTGGTAACCTTCTGAGGCACCCTATTTTACTCTCTCTCTCTCAGAACAAGGCCTGAGAGAAAATGAAAAGCCACTGACTTCTACATTCAGCATAGAGTGGGGAAGGACAGTGAGAAAGGGAGAGAGACCAGGCAGAATGCACTGCAGCCACTCGGGTAGGGACCATGAGCCAGCAGCGGAGCTGGTAAGAGTGGTCGACTTCTGGACAGACTTTAAAGACATAATCAGTAGGATTTCCTGATGAATCAGATGTGGAGTATGAAAGAAATCAATGACACCACAGTTTTTCAGGTTCAGCAAACTGAAAGAACAGAATTACTATTATTAAAATGGTAGGGTACAGGCAGTTGGGAGTTCAATACTGGAAATATTAAGATGCATGGATATTTCTAGTAGGCAGTTGGATAAGAGCCTGATATTAGCAGAAGCAGTCCAGACAAAAAGCATACAGTGGAGAATACAGTGGAGGTGGTCCTTAAAACCATGGGACTAAAGGAAGTTACTAGAGTGAATGAAGATTTAAAAAAAAAGTCAAAGGATTGAGTCCCAGCCTTCACAAATGTAGTTGTAATAACAACTAATACTAGGAAAGCAGGGCCTCTCCCTTACCCCAGGAACTGAATCTTAATTATTCAAAAGCAAGTTTGAAACTGGGTGTGGTGGTGTACATCTATAATTCCAGCATTCTGGGAGGCTGAGGGAGGAGGATCAAAAGTTCAAGTCAGGGCAATTTAGGACTTCAAATAATATTAAAAGTTTTAAAAGGGCTTGGGATGTAGCTCAGGGAAAAGGCCCTAGATTTAACCCCCAGTAGATCCAATCAAGACCGGGTTCCACTGATTGCTGTTACCAGGTAGGGACAAAGGGACCCACCAGGTGTGCTGGTAGAAGGAACATTTTCCTTATCAGTCTTGCAGAGCAGCTGGACTGTGGCTACCATTAAGTAGTCTTAGGGAAGCGTAACCAACAAGCTGAGGATGGCACAGGGCAAAGATGAAGAAAACGAGATATCGCAACCAGACTGAACCAGATTTTTTGTTATTATTTAAATAACCTAATAAGAGATTTAATAAATATGTCAAAAGTATCTGGATACAAGCATTTAATTTTTGTAACAGTGTTTAGATTACCAAAGAGCAAACAGACCCAAAAAAGGTTAACTTGGCAAGATGACTTAAGTAGCCACAGGTGAACTGAAGCTTACCTGATTCCAGGTCTATTTAAACCGATTAATAGGTGTGAATTAAAGGAGTGGATACAAACGACAGGGAGGGAAAGCAGGGTTCAGAATCCATGAGGTGAAGAAAAGTAAAGCCAGGAAGTAACCGACAGGGAAGGAAAAGGAAGTGTTTAAAGAGTAGAGAAACAAATGAACACATGAGTGGACAAGCTGACCTGAGAGGCCTTCCTTCGAGAATAGCAGAGCTGAAGATATTTACTACTGAAGATTCTAGGTGGAGGTCAGGCACAGGCTGTGGCCGTAAGGAGGACTTGTATTTGCAGTGGTCCAGGACTGACGTACGAATATTCACTAACCTACTAAGCGACACACATTATTTTATGCACTTGAGATACAGTGCTGACTAAAACAGATGGGTCCCCAAGACGTTCAGGCTCTGGCATGAAGGACAAGAAGCTCAGAAACACCTAGAACTTCAGTGTGTAGTGACAGAGGCACTCAGTGATAGCCCATCTGAGATAAAGGCTCCCTGGGGTGACCTAGCCATCGCCTAAGGCCTTTGCTCAGAGTTACACACAGAACACGATGAGAATGACTAAGGATCGCAATGACTAGCATTCATTATTTCAAATAATTTTACCTTACACTAAGAAGTATTTAATGAATAAATGAGCTCTCTGGTTTTTCCCATTCTGAGTTTTCAATCAACTGCTTAATAAACCAGACTATTATTTCCTAGATTGATGCAAATAATAGTCTGCAAGTGAACAAAGAATTCTTGCAAAGTAGCTCATGAGTATATTCCTCCACTCACTAGAATATACCCCTTGAGGTATCTGTTTACTGTATTTACTAACATCAAAGAACAGATTAATAAGTATCTATTAGCTATCACATTAATAACAAAAGTGACTAAGACAGCACTTGCCCTTAAGAGTTTACTATTTAAAGGCTTCAATTAAAATCTCTTGATTTTTGTCTCTATTAATAAAGTACACAGTTAAGGAGTAAAATTTTTTTTTTTTTTTTTTTGGTACCGGGGATTGAACTCGGGCCCTTGTGCTTGCGAGACAGGTGGCAGAACCACTAAACCAAATCCCTGGCCCAAGGCGTAAAAGTTTTAAGAATCAAAAATATCTGCCTGGGACCAGGGGTTTGGTTCAGTGGTTCCACTGGCCTGCCTTGCAAGCACAAAGGCCCAAGTATGATCCCGGCACCAAAAAACAAACAAAAAATACCTGCCAAAGATAAAGGCAGTTTCCTTTAAGCTTCACATACATTTATTTACTTAACTTATTTGTGTGGTACGGAGGATCAAACCCAGGGCCTCAATAAATAACCCAGACTGGCCTCAAACTCACAATCATCCTGTTTCAGCCTCCTGAGCTGTGATTAAAAGTGTGTGCCACAAGGCCGACGTCATATATTTCCAAATTTAAACAAACAAATGAGCAAACAGACACCTAACTGCCTCAATTAGATAACAAAGCATAAGCAATGATTATGGTAAATTATATGAAAATAGTAACTTCAGATACTTCTAAAATATTTAATTCCTTTTTTCCTCTCAAGTATATGTTCCTTTTAAATACAATTTTAAAATGAAGTGAGGGGAAAAAAAGACAAAAAAATGAAGTGAGAATATTAGTTAATATGAAGCATCATAAAAGAACGAACAGAATCAGCAGGCAAATTCCAAAGAGATCACTGCTGTAAATAGACACGGAAATGTCAGCAGAGAAGCAAAGTTCCACTAAATCACAACAACGAAACTGTTATCCCAACTGAGTCTTAAATCTCACACCCACTCATCTTCTGGTAAAGATTCTTGGTCTTCTAATAACATATTTCCAAAAAGAAATGTAAGCAGAGGTAGATGTACTTGCTACAAAAACTTCGGTTCTGCAGATTCTTTTTTCCTTTGTACCTTATTAAGGAGGAAATCTCCACCAGAAATTTAATTTAAATACTGATGTATGAAATAAAGGACACTGGATTAAGTATTTGGTCTCAGCTCTGCAATTAGTCTTGTTACTTTATACAAGGACCTCTGGCAACCTGGGTCTTCTCCACTACAAATAAAAGAAATGCACTCAGTGTGCTTCGAGGTTTTCCCCAGACTTATAGCCCAAGATAGTGTCAGTGAAGCTATCCATCCGTGCCACCTGGCCTCAAATACCTCCAACACTCACATCCATATATTCTACAGTTTGTTAGTTCTAATTTGCAGAAAATGATTAGAAGATAATAAAGGACTTAACTTGGTATCTATTAAGTTTTTACCAATATTAAAGCACTAAACCATACTGAGAAAAACCAGAGTAAGACCTACTACTCCTTGAACAGCCCTCTTAAATGGAAGAAGGAGAAAAGCAGAAGAAAAAATGATTGTATTCAGAACATTTACTGCCATCTAGTTGGGAAACACAATTTTTATTTATTTTTTTGTGGTTCTGGGAATCGAACCCAGGACCATGTGCTATAAGTGCTCTACCACTGGGCTGTATCTCTGGCCTCTTCTATTTTCTTATTTTATGACAGAGTCTGACTAAATTGTTCGGGTCGGCCTCGAAATTGTGACCACCCCTTTGCCTCAGCCTTCAAAGTGGCTGGGATTGGAGGCATGTGCCATGATAGCCAGTGAGGAAAGCTTAATATTACAAATTTTTATTAAGTACTTTTTTTTCCAGAACCAGGGATAAATGCAGGAGCTTTGATGAGCAAAACAGTCAACTACAATGCTTAATTTTGAGAAAGAGAGAGAGAGAGAGAGAGAGAGAGAAAGAGAGAGAGAGAGAGAAAGAAAGGAAGGCAGATTTCTCAAAATATGATCCAGTAGGGCTTAGGTGTCCAAATTTCCAAAAAGTGCCCCACAGGTACTATTAGTCCTTGGTTAAGATTAAGAAACATTGCCCTATCCTGTATTACAAAAAGTTGATGGGGTTCTGTTAAAATATAAAAGCTGGCACCTTAAAATGTTAAAGCTTACTGGAGCAGACAAATGACTCATAAATCGCTTCATGAATCAGGCAGCGCAAAAGTGGTTCAGAGCTAACAAGACAGGAGTGGATGACTGGAATAGGACCAACACAGGCATGAGGCAAGTGAAACACTTGATTAAAGCACAGCATAAGTCAGCCTTGGATTGTTCCACGCGGTACCGTTACCTGGTTAAGAGGTTACCTGGCAGGTTTCTGACTGGTAGAGATTGTATGTAGTCACAGCTTATGCTGGAACTAGGCTACTGAAGCCACCAGAGTATAATGGTATAATTATTTCAACAGTTTAAAAATGAGAAATTTTTCTAGCCCTTGAATTCTTCTCAGGACTACATACCCATAATAAGACACAAACTGCAAGCCATCCCAAGTAAGCAAAAGCCTGACAGAGCTGCTAGACTTGTATTTCAGTGGGTCTTAAATTTGCTCTGCATTTCACAAAGCTTTCAAAGATCAAATACAGACCAATTAAATCTGTGTCTGGGATCTGAGGGGACTTTACTCCCTCATGCCTTGCAGGGCTAGGAATCCAACCAGGGCGTGCTCTACCACTGAGCCATGATGGAGCTATGATGGAGCTGTACCCTCCCAGCAGCCTGCATCTTCGAATTTTGAAAAAGCTCTCTGTTGCCAGTGCAGACAACCACTCCATTAAAGATCACCTCAACACAGGTTAGGGAAGAAGGAAAGGGGCGGGGAGAGGAGTGGTAGCACATGCCTGTAATCCCAGTGCTCAGGAGGCTGAGGCAGGAGGATCACCATAAATTTGAGGCCAGCCTGGACTACAAAGTGAATTTAGGGCCAGCCTGAACACAAAGCGAGACCTTGTCTCAAAAACAAAAAACAAAAAGTAAAAGAAATTGATATATCTACTATATGTATTATATATGACTATATGATCCAAGTAGAGAAGGCAACAATGATTCTGACAGCAAAAAGAAGAGAGAATGAGAAAAAATGTGTTTGTTTTAGGTTTCTTGTTTTTCTGCATATACAGATTTAGAAGGACATTTGGGGAATAAGACATTTAAAATAAATTATTTTGATAGTTGTTATAAAAATACAAAAAACAGATGCTAACTCACATCTTGAATATTTTAAAATCTTAGTAAAAAGAAGTAAATTATTATTTTACACATAACAATTTTATTATAAATTATTGTACTGGACAGTATGCTACACAATTGGCTAAAATCATCCATGAACTAGGTGGGAAGGCCAGTTTTTTGAAAGAGATGGTTCAAGAGTCCCACACTTTCCCCCCAGCATTACCTCTAGCAGTGACAGAAATCAAGGCTGACCAGTGCTTCTCCTGGAGAGGTAACACTGCCCTCCAAAGTTCATGCGCAGTGTCTGAGGGCAGGGGGGCAGTAAGTGGAGAGCTGCTACCCGCATCTGCCAGCAGAGGGAAGGATATACTAGATATATTAGAATACACAGTGGTAAAACATCCCAGAATACCCATACTTACAGAGGCATCTACCAAAAACACAAAAATGCCAACAACAACAAAAAAACCTGGAAATAGAAGTCCTTACTTTCAATAGAGAAATGTAAAGTAAGCTATGGTATATTTGAAATAGTTTTGGTGGTAAATTATATCACGGTAACATGTTTATCAAGGGTCTGATAGGGGAAGTCTAATAAAATACTGTAAAAATCAGTTAGTGGTTAATAAATGCCATTTGTTGGGCAGGCTTTCTCAAAATGTAACTGAAAATTTTCTGTTTAGCAATACCACCCAACACTGCTTTTACTATGTTTCTACACACTGCTAAAATTTAATCTGTAGCCTGATTTACTTACTGTTTTTCCAAATACAATTTCCACTAAAATATATAAGGACAGCTAAGAATACTGAAAAAAATGACCAGAGCTATAAAAAGGTAACAGAGCAAAAGCTGCATGGAGGAAAATCACGGCCCACTTGTATCTACAAGTATGGAACTGTTTAGTTAACTGACTTATTTTAGGTTTAAAACAAGTGGACACGGTAGTTTTAGAGGTGATCAGGAAGACTGGAACACACATTTCTCTCACTCTCTCCAGGACTAGCAACGGGCAAAGTATTTTTTAGAATAATTCACAGAAGACAAAGTCGCTACAAAATTGGTAAAGTTCATTTTGCCTTTTAACTAAATGGAGTGAATGTGAGGGGAGTGGATTCTCTTGATACACTGAAGTCTGAACAGAGAAAGACCTCTAAAGCACCTTATTCATTCCTGGAAGTGCTACTGCCAATCGAAATTTGCATATAACGCTCGGTGAGGTCTGAAATTATTCGATAACTACAGTAGTTACTATAAATCGCCCACAAAATCACTTAGTCCAAGGATGGTTAACTCTGAACACTGCATATTTGAGTACCCACAGGTGCACAGGAAAACTTCTAAGGAACAAAGCTAGCTTTGGTCAAGAAAGGGATGCTCACTACAACTGGCCAGGGACACACAACATCGTTCCTGAGTCTTGAGTTTCAGGAACAATCGTGTTTTCAAAAGGCAGTCATATTTGCACAGCCAGCTCACCCACATTTTAAATAAAAATTTGGAACTAAAAGACCTCCAGTCTAACTTCATCCCCGCTAGTGAAACAACTTAGAAAAAAAAAAAATCGGGCAGAAGTAAAATACAGGGGCCTTTACTACCCTGGACACCGGGCCGGGTTCCCTCTGCGCCAGGAGGACGTTTCGGGGTCGTCGCCCCGCGCGCTTCACCCAGCCGCCGCGCCCTCGAGACAGTCGCGTTGTCGTCACCCCGTCGGCGTCGAGCCCTTCCCTGTGGACACGCGGGATGACCTCCGCGGAAAACCCTTCCTGCGATCTCGACCGCTAAGAAACAACCACTCCTTTCTCTTCAAGCTCTCTGAAACCCAACCCCAATCGGGTCGCCGCCTCAGTCACACCCACCAAACCCGAAGAACGGATTCCCAGCCTCACCCCAACCACACGCCGAGAGGAAGGGCCAAGAATAACCCTGCTCTCGCGGGAGGTTCGCCTCAATTCTCGCGACACTTTCTAGCGCTTCTTTCTCAGCCCCACCCCCATCGCAACGCGTTGCCTCGGAAACATCGCGGGATTTCCGTCATTCAGTCTCCGCCTCTTTACGGCACGATGGTCGCGCAAGAATGTGATAGAGCCTCGACGGCCGCCATTTTCTTCCTTTCTTAGCAGTTAGCTGGAAGGAGATCTCTGTGTAGCGGCGGCGGCTCCCGTAGTACAGCCATGGCTGACTATTCAACAGTGCCTCCTCCTTCCTCTGGCTCCGCTGGTGGTGGTGGCGGTGGCGGCGGCGGTGGAGGAGTTAACGATGCTTTCAAAGATGCGCTACAGAGAGCCCGGCAGGTAAGTGTGGACCGCGCGGCTGGCTCCGAGAGCTCACCGTAATTGGCCGCCGGCCTTGTAGGCCGCTTCCCCCTAGCGCTTGAGGAACAGGAACGAGGTGCCCTTCCGGGCTGAAATGTGAGCAGTCACGTTTCCCCGCGTTGGTGATAGCGGCTAGAAAACAGTGTTTAAGTTTGTGGTCTTGGCGTTAGGATCACAACGCGTGTTGCCAAAAGATGGCCCAAAGTCAGCCTCCACTTCTGCAGCATTAGCTCCTGTCCAGGAAGTTAGCCGAGCTACCTCTTTCCGTGGAAGGAACACCCTTTTCCGTGGTCGAAAGCGCTCGTGGAATTGCAGGGTAGTATGGAAGATTCTGGTAATGGGTTTGGGGAAGGACTAGGATCTGTCTCCAGGAACCGTAGAAAGGGCAGGGATTTATGATTAAAGCAGCCTTTCCACTCTCCAGCCCCTCTTACCCCCCCACCCACCCCCATCAAAGAAGTCCTGGACCACGTTCACCTCATCAGCAACCGAGAGGCTTCAGAGAGCAGCCTTCCTCTGGGCGGGCCGCGCGTGTCATTTTCTGCCAATCCTTCCCTCGTATTTCTCAAAATGGCCTCAGGCCTATTATACTCGGGGTTTCAATTTGAATCTGCCTCTCAGTTCGGAGTGGTAAACCGACCAGACCTCTTTGTATTACGTAGGTGCGTGCATTTGACCCGAAGGCACTCCTTTCCTAGATAAAAGCTCTTCAAAACAAAAACCATAAAGATCCTAGTACTTTGGGGAATGAAAGGATTACTTAATTTGAACTTAACCTTTTTAAGGTAGTTCTTTGATAGACTTGTAGTTGTAAAATGTATGAGGTTGGTATGGACTGTACATAAGAAAGTAAAACTTTAATTCTCGTTGTGACACTGTATATTGTATTAGGTGCCAGATATTTTAAGCAAATGGTCATTAAAAACCAGTTTTAATTGTTTTAAGAGTTCACTTCCCTAAATTATTTTACCCTCCAATACAACTAAAGTGTCAGTGAACCAAAAATCAAAATTCATTAAGTCCGAAGTAATGTGTATTCAGTCCTGTTCTTGATTCTACTCTAAGTAGTCACAGATCATCATTAATACTAGTTTTGTATTTTTTCACCTCTGTTTTTAAACTTTTGAACATGCACAGCAGTGGAAACAGTCATGTAACTGACAGAAACTGTGTCCCTTTTATTCAGTTGAGTTGGAAAACCTACCAGTTTTATACTGAGCTAGCATATTTAATTATTTAATGCCACACACCGTCCACAGATAATGGAGGGTTTTTTTAACATGTGAATTGGATTCTTTATAGGAACCAATGATGTATAGTAAGGGAAACAAATGCAAAGGAGCAGAATTACCAGATAAATGCTTTCATAAGAGAATAGACATAATATGAACATTTAATTCATCCACTTGTTCTGTAAACATTTACAGCATTTCTGCTGTGTGTCAGGCACTGTACAGGATACCAGGGAAGGGGTCCCTAACTCCCTGACCGGTGACATTTTTGCAAGGCACAATGAAATGAAACTGAAGTGAAATGAAAATGAAAGTTTGGCCTGTAGAGAAAAGCAGCAGCCTGTGCAAAGGTATGGGGATGTTTGGAATGACCAGAACCCAAGAACACAGTAATGACTGGGGGAAGTATGGTGGAAAGTTTGGTGAAAGAAGATACACATATAAGTAGATAGACCAGGGCAAGTAGTGATGAAATTTATTTTGAAAATAAACATGAAAAAATGTTTGAAAACATTTTATATTATTCAAAAATGCTTTATGTAAGCCTGTGTCCGGGATACAAAGAGTGGTTGTGTGTCTTGTTAAGCCCCAAGTGGAATAACTTTTATCTTTAATTAGGATGAAAAAAAATCAAATACATGTATCTGAAATCTTGTGGGCATTGCTCTAGAGTTGAGTGATACTCAGTATAATGTGCAGATTTGTTTATAATTAGCAGATTTTTTTTAAGAATACACTACATATTGGGCTGTGTATTAAGCATATTTTGTCAGATTGTCACAGCCATTCTACAGGGTAGGTTTAGAAACTGTTATTGTGCAGATGTGCTGTTTGAGGCACCGAATCCTTAAGATAATTTGACAAGAACAAAAGCAGTAGAATCATTCATAACTCCCCTCCCCATCTCCAGAATTCCTAGATTTGAGAAATAATGAAGGTGGAAAATGCCAGCGAAAGAAAATGATAGCAAAGAAAATACTCAAAAGTAGAGCAGGGTCTAAAATGGAAAGTTTTGTTTTGCAGATTAAAATTGAATGAAATAAATTACCCACACTCAATGCATGTCTAATAATACTCTAAAAAGAAGGTGTTAATGGGAAGCCCAGCATGGTAGTTCCCTTGTTATCCCAGCCCTGGGGAGGCTGAGGCAGGAGGATCACAGCAAGTTTGAGGCCAGCCTGAATTGCATAGTGAGATTCTGTCTCAGCAAACAAAACAAAAACGAATATTAGGAAGTTGATTTTTAGGAATTTTCTCTAAAATGAATCCTGTTCATAGTAACCTAGAAAATGTATTTTCTTTCTTTTTTAAGAAAATGTATTTTCTATTGATCCTGGAGGGTTGATAATCAAATTTATTTATTTGTTTGTTTGTTTGTTTATTTATTTATTTTGGTACCAGCGATTAAACGCAGGACCTTGCATTTGAGGCACCACTGAGCTAAATCCCCGGCTCTGAAATTTGTATTTTTTGTTTTTGTTGTTTAGTTTTGTTTTGTTGCAGTATGGGGGTGGTCAAACTCAGGATCTTGTGGCTGCCTTGCAAGTGTGGTGCTACTGAGCTAAATCCCCAGCCTCAAATATATATTTTTACTAAAAGTTCTTCTGTTTGTGTCTGTTCTGTTTTTGAGATATTACTGTTTGTTTTGGATGAACTAAGTATCATCTTTCATTCCTAGTTTCAGAGATGTTCAATAAGTAAAGTGTAAGTATGTATCCTTTCTCCTTGGAATTAGAAGCCTGCATTTCGGCAAACACCATTTATGAAAGTTAGCTGCAGGAGATAGCTACAACCTAAAGTATTTTCCTGTTATTAAAAGTACTGTTTTCTCTGGCCTGAAGTATTTTAATATCCATCCCTGTCAGTCTCAGGCAGTTTTGTTTTGAGACAGTGGTCTCAATGCATAGGTCAGACTGCTCTTGAACTCTTGGTGATCCTATGGGTATGGGCCACCTCACCCAGCCCCAGACAGTGTTTTTAAATTCCTAAGAAGAAGTTTAAATGCTAAATATATATTTTGAGGTCTAGTTTGAAGAAAATGGCATTTTCAGCTATGATTAGGAAGGAAAATGTAAGATTAAATTATATGCCCAAAGATGAAAGTAAGTTAATTGATAAAGTGGTTTAAATTGAAAGATGGTTTAGAGCTAGGCATGGTGGCACACACCTGTAATCCCAGTACGTGGGAAGCTGAAGAAGGATTGCCACAAGTTTGAGGCCAGCCTGAACTACATAGCTTGACCCTGTCTCAAAAAAAAAGATGGTTAAGAAAGTTAGAGCTGCCATACACGTAATCAAGAAAATCATATTGTATCCTTTTTTTTAATCAAGGCAGTTCAATAATATGCTTTGTGTGGTAGCTATTTACATTTACAAATGAAGAAGGGGGAAATCTAAATTTGGGAAGTATAATTGGTGTTATGAGGTCTGATACATATGGGGCTTATGTAATTTGTATTTAACACTTGAAGTCTGAATATATTCTTACTCTTTCTGTTTCCTGATTATATTAAAAGTATGAAGCAGTTGGGGTAGTTCCATAGCAGGGTGGGGGTAGGGTTGCAGTCACCAGAAGTTTTTTATTCAGTCATTCATTTTGAGACAAGGCCTTGCTGCATAGGTCAGGCTGGCCCGGAACTCATTGCACTCTTGCTTTAGCCTTCCAAGTGCTGGGATTAGAGGTATTGGCCACCATGCCAGGCTAATTTTAGTTTTTTAAAATGGATGATTTCAGACACACTCAAAGTTGGAAGATATAGCTGGGCGTGGTGGCACACGCCTGTAATCCCAGCGCCCAGGAGGCTGAGACAGGAGGATCTCCATGAGTTCCAGACCATCCTGGGCTACATAGTGAGTTCCAGGTCAGTCTCAACTACATAGTGAAACCCTGTCTGAAAAAACAAAAAAACAAAACAAAGTTGGAAGATGTAAATGAATTCTCATGAGCCCATCATACATCTTTGATAGAGAATGTAAAAAGACATGGTGTAGAGGTTGGCCTTTATCAGTAACATTCCATTTCCCTTTTCATAGAAAAAAATGGAATGCATTTCCACTGGTTGTGCCCAGTTTGTGACTTCAAGCTGGTATTTCGTATGTGGTGTGTGTTTAGTTGAGTGCAAGCAATTATTTGCCACTCTTAAAAAATCATGTAATGGGCTCAGTGGTTCCACCACTGCCTCGCAAGCACAAGGGCCCAAGTTCGATCCCCAGTACCAAAAAAACAAATTGTGTAAGAGCAAAGTGAATTAAATAGAATTAGGGTTCTGTTGATGGTTTTTGTAGAGCTCCTCAGTCTCCTGTATGGATTTTCAAAGTACTACTGTACAGTAGAAATATAATATGGATGATACATCTTAACTCAGCATGTCCTAAATGAGAAAATGCTCCCACACATACCTTTTGATTGGTCTTGGGAAAGAGCCACGAGAAGATAGAATTAAGAAGCAGATTTTCTTCAAAACTAGTTACTAATCCCCGGTACCAAAAAAGAAAAAAAAAACTAATTACTAATTGATTACTTCTTTATTGATTGTTATAAGGGTGACCAGGGTTTAATTTCAGACCATGATTATATGTTAACTCCTTGAAATGATTAATGATGATAGCAATAAGTTGAACTGTTGGTTTTAGTTGTGTCTATCAAGTAGATTTTTTATGTGATAGTAAATATTTAGCGTATATATTTTATGAAATGAGGAAATGTGGTATTGGATACTATATATATATATATACACACACACACTAGTTTGTGTTGCAGTCCTTATTGGTAATGTGTTTTTGTTTTCTTAAGATTGCAGCAAAAATTGGGGGTGATGCTGGTACATCATTGAATTCAAATGACTATGGTTATGGGGGACAAAAAAGGCCTTTAGAAGATGGAGGTAAGTTATACCTATGAGTAATTTTTATACAGTGTTTAGGTGAAGAAATTTTCAGTGTTTTTATTGAAACATTTTTATTATAAGGTTCCTAAAAACTATAAGGTTTATAGTAGCCTCAAAAGGAAGAGAAAAGAGGAGCCCTAGATAAGGTAAGTTAAATTTGAGTTAAGAAGAAAGTTTTGTCTTAGTAGAAAACAGCTTATTTTCCTTTAGGATGGTGCCATATTTACACTTTGCACAGACTTCTTGTTAATCATACAGAAAACAAAATAAAAAATACAGTTGCTTAGAAAACACTTCAGTGGGAGTCCGCATAGATAAACAAACCTTTATGTGCTATGTTTTCATTATGTTGCTATTTTAGACTTAACTTTAAAGGTTATAGTTGCTATAGTTTGCCACTCTAGTGTATTTTGTTGCAGATTATAGCATTTTTATGTTATTTGTTTTAGCACTTTGTGTTTCAGGTTTATCTTAAAATATGTGGATTAAAACAGTGGGTTTACAGTGCTCTGTATTTTAAAAATAATTGTTGAAGGTTCTGAACTTAGAAGCATACACATTTTTTTTTGTTTTAGGTTTGATATGTGAAGTTTGATGCCTTTTTGCCCTGTTTTTAAAAAGGATTGTGACCAAGCCTATATAGAATGTATTTGTAGCTTTTTATCCAGGAGTATTTGGTTTCCTTTTATTTAAGTGCCTTTTATATTTACAGTGAGGTTTTTAATATACAAAGAAAAAATGAGCTAATGATGCTTCAGATGTTGTATGTAATGTATTCTTTTTATTTTATGTGTAGATGGCTCTTGGACAAGTCCGAGCAGTACAACACACTGGGAGGGAATGCCCTCTCCTTTTAAAGGCAGGAATTTTTATTTATTACCTGTGTTTAGTATGTAAACGTGAAATAAACCATTGGATTCTTATGGACACAGATAGTTCTTGGATTGTGTGTCTGAATTTTTGCTACACAACAATCATGTTTAATCATTTAAGTTTGAGGGGGGAGAATTTAGTATTTCAGTTCTAGGTTGTCTGTTCTACGGTATGCATTGTATTCATCTGTGTCATGGATTTAGATGAAGTAGTCATGTAGTTGCTTTGAGTGTTTTCTACTGAAGTTTTACTCAGTGAAATGTTTTATTTAGGAGTAATAGAACAGTTTAGATTGAGACTGTCTTGTAATGTGATTTATTTATTTGTTTGTTTTGGTATAGCTTTGTGGTCACGGTCAGATACACTCAGCTTTTTACATGTCAGACTTTTACATTTTGATAGACACTTCTCCCTGTAAGTCTCAGTTCCACAGTGGAAGCATCATTAGCCTTTCGTCTGTGATACTTTGCTAATCATGGAGCTAAATACTTTGCCTTGTATCATTCTAAAATGCTTAATGTCCATTAAGGTTGATAATTTGATAAAAAGAATTCTTTTGAGTGTCTGTGCATCTTTTAAATAGGAACAGAATGAAAGAATGTAGTTTTTCCTTTAGAATTATGGGTTGGGGTTAAAAGTTTTGGCAATTTTGGTTCAAGCGATAAAACCATTTTGTCACATATTTTAATATGTTTATGTTTATACTCTTGCTTGAGTCAGGGAAGCTTTGTGTATTTATTGGCCAAAACATTAAAAGATTCTTAATTTTACAGATCAACCAGATGCTAAGAAGGTTGCTCCTCAAAATGACTGTGAGTATTTTAAGCCATGTTAAAAGTTAAATAATGGAAAGCTGGGCGTGGTGGCACACGCCTGTAATCCCAGCACTCCGGGAGTCTGAGGCAGGAGGCTCCCTCTGAGTTCGAGACCAGCCTGGGCTACATAGTTCCAGGTCAGTCTCAACTACATAGTGAGAACCTGTCTCAAAAAAAAAACCCCAAAAAAAACGAAAAAGAAGAAGAAGAAGTAGTTAAATAATGGAATTTTTAGTATTGAGATTTTATTCCTGTTACTGGTGAGGTGCCTTTGGTTTTTGAGATGAGGGCTCACTGTGTAGTCCAGACTGGCCTGGAGCTTGCAGCAATCTTCCTGCCTCTGCCTGCCATGTATTGGGATGGCAGGAGTGTGCTACCACACCTATTTGAATTTCTTTATAAATGTATACCTTTCTCTTCTCTTTTTTAAAAAAATAATCTTTCTCTTTAATTATTGTTGGATATATGTATTGACTGCTGAATTATGACACATATTCATTTCATTGACTCCAGTTTTTTGTTTGTGTGTTTTGTTTGGTTTGATTTGGTACCAGGGATCAAACTCTTTGTGCTTGTGAGGCAGGCGGTGCAACCAAAGAGCTAAATCCCTGGCCCTCCAGTTCTTAATCGGTGCTTCTCCCGCTTACAAAAGGAAGTGTTTTGTACTGTGCCATTGCTAATGTACTTGCCCTTTTCACTGGCTTCCTCACCGCTACGGGTGATGATTGCAGTCTATGTAAAATATTCTCTCCAACATGTTGTCCACACACTGGGGAGATTTTAGAATGCTTGATGTGATTGTGTTGATAAATATATAAACCTAAATTTTGCATTTTTGTTTTAATTTTTGACAGCTTTTGGATCACAGTTACCACCAATGCACCAGCAGCAGAGGTATGCTCTTAAAAAGTACTTTCCAAACTGAGCTATATGTATACATGCAGTTAGTATGTAGTGAATGTGTCTGTATTTTTTATATATGTGATTAATGTTCTCATTTGGGATGATGATGCCTTTTTCTTTTTGAGTGAGATAGTTATAATTTAAAGAAACTGATGAAATTAGCCATGTTTTAGAAGAACTAAGATCAGTTAAAATAACTACTTCTAGTTATTACTTCCAGGATGACACTCCCTGAGCACTGCTTCGCAGCCTGTGCCTGAGGCTGTTGAGTGCACCATCTCTCCTCCCTTGATTCTTACCATCTTATTTAAAATTCATAAAGTCTTGAATTTGTACTTCATAATTCCTGAGTAATAAAACAGTATTTTGGCCATAGATATGTGCCTCCTACCTTAGTTTAAGCTAGGGGACATTGGACTTCCATTTCTTAGAGAATATGCAAATTATCTTTCTTAAAGGGACAGTGTTGGTTTCTTTTATTTCTTAGCAGATCTGTGATGACAGAAGAGTACAAAGTTCCAGATGGAATGGTTGGCTTTAGTAAGTAACCTTTTTGAAAGTTTTGAAAATATAATCAAAGTATACTTTTATAATCTTTCAGCAAATCTTTTTTTCTCTTTGACTAGTAATTGGCAGAGGAGGTGAACAGATCTCACGCATTCAACAGGAATCTGGATGCAAAATACAGATCGCTCCTGGTAACATTATTTTCTTGATATTTTCAAAGTGTATGGAAACCTTGTATATTTTATACATTGCTAATTGCTAATCTTTTCTTGACTTAAATTCTCTTCCTTTTTATTACAGACAGTGGTGGCCTTCCAGAACGGTCTTGCATGTTAACTGGAACACCTGAATCTGTCCAGTAAGTATGAAAATCTTAAAAGTCTACTTAACAGTAATTATGTGAAGACTCTGAACTTTGCTCTTCATTACTGCTTCTACTAAACCATTGTCCTCTCATCCCTATTACTGAAAAAATCTTCAGCTTTTCAGTGTTTATGCCTTCATCTGAACCATAAAACACAAAATTAATAAAAAGTTACCACCTTCCCATTTTTAGATCTTGAGCATTTAACCTTTTCTTTTCTATTTACTGAAAACATAGACACTTCTACCTTCCCCACCACTAAAACTTAGAATGTTTCATTTATTCTCTTTACCTATGAAACACAGATGTGTTGACTTCTCTGTTCTTGTGACCAAGGCCAGCCCTTCCTATTCCAGTAGGGCTTTATTCCTACATTTATCTCCTGTGTCACTAATCTTTCTTTTACAGGTAATTTCTAATAGTAGTATATACACATTTGAGAATCTCTGTTATAACAAACCACCTTGAACCCCACATTCTATTTATACACCCAGTAAAATGTCTTGTAAAAGGTGGCTAGACTTGTTGCATCGTCTCATGTGTTCATTTTCTCTTGAACTCATACCAGCCATTAAAATTTATGTTTACAAGGTCACACACAGACTATCACTTACCAGATCCAGCTATTTACCTGGTATCTCCACTTGAATGTATTTTTTATATCCCTGACCTCTGTTTGGTAGTAGTGGGGATTGAATTCAGTGTCTCACACATTCTGAGCATACTCTGTACCACTGAACCACATTTCCAGGTCCAGATATCTCCAAGGTTAGATCATTAAAAACATGATTCTTGATTTCTTCTTCATGTCTGAGCTGCTTTCTTCCTCTCTTTTTAATGCTACTTTCTCTTTTGCTCATTTTATTCTTGTCATCTCATTGTACAAAAATTGTTTTGATACTTTTTCTCTTGCACCTTATTTATCTATGGTCGTTTTTCTTTTGCAGTTCCTTCAAAATCTATCCTGATCTTGCCACTTGCTGTATTGAATCTCTGTCATTTGTTTGTATTACTGCAACATGCCTTCATTCTTTTTATACTTGTCCCAAGATAGTTTATTATAATAATGTGGCAATTGTGATACTTTTTTTTTTTTTTTTTTT